GTGTGTTCGTGTGTTCAGGTTCCTCGTATGAGTTTGGAAAAGAAATAAGAAAATTTCCAGTGTTCTCCCCCGGCCGTCCTGGGAGGGATGGCAGGCAACCCTCGCCAACCAATCCTGAGGCAGGGAGTTGTGTCAAACGACAAATAGAACTAACAACAATGTAATTTGATCAAAATAGGGGCGTTATTTAATTTACAATATCCGTTAAGTTGTTTTATTATTTTCTTGACTACATTAATATCCTGACCTGACTGTGAAGAGCTGCAGAAGGATCTCTGTGAGCTCTAAGAATAGTCGAAGAAATGGCAGCTGAGATTCAATGTCATGAAGTGTAAGATGATATACGGTGAGTCCTATATAGCTATTAACTATCCTATATTTCTCCTCTGTGAAGTCTCCCCTGGCTGGTGTGTGTGGGAGGACCAACTGTAAGCCTATATCACCAGCCGACCTCAACCATAAACAATTACCTCCCTCACCCTTGTAGTGGATTCCTCCCCTACAAACGCCGTTTGTCGCTGAGTAGCCGACCCTCTTCGAATTCCCCATCCTGCGCCTCGTGGTCGAGGTCGGCAACCAGCGCCGTAGGTCAACTATCAACCCACGCTTACCCCCGCTATATAAGACCTCACGTGGCCGTGACCTACCTCTTTCTACCTACAGCCACCAGCAAGCAACACCTCCTCCTCCTCCTCCGCTCCTGCCTGGTGGCCCTCGCTCCCGCCGGCGACTATGCCGCCTGTCCTCCTCTGAGCACCCTCACCAACCAGCTCTCTCTACATCACGCTTGGACTCACGCTGCCACCCCCCAGCACCAAGCTGCAGTGTACATCCAATACAATATGTATACAGAGAGCACATTGTGAGTTTCCTTTCTCTAACCCATCCTGAGTGTAAACCAATATCGCATAACCCCACACCCTCTCCACCTCTCATGAGTGTACCGAGAAAGAATAGCAAGAATAAGTAAAAAAATAGAGTTAGAGTAAATATAAAGAATTGATAAGACAATGAAAGAGTAAGTTGTTACATAAAATATGTTACATTAAAATTAGGGACATAAAATTTTTGTTACACTTCGTGTTCATTTGGCAGTAAATGTTGGTAATATACCTTGACTCTGCCAAGGAATCTGAGTGTACCTTATAAAATTATGAAAATCACATTAGAGGGATATGGATGACTATCCTAACATGAAATGGAGACATTCTTATGATTGCAAAGTATGTGGTGATTAATGGCACAAATTGTCATTTGTACCCATGACAAATGGTGTACCAAAGGGCAGTGTGCTTTGATTAATGCAATTCATTTGTTTCATAAATTGTAAGCTCGTTGCTATTCAAACTTCCATATTAATGTTAACAAACAATACTAAGCTATTCAGAAAAGTTTACCAACAGACTGTGACACATTACAGAAAGATCTGTATCAGCTTCAAGAGCAGCCAAAGGGATGGCTACAGAATCGATGTTGTGAAATGGAAGAGAATTGCAAGTTATTAATTTAAGTAAATCACATTTATAATCCCAAAACAGAACCTTGTGGGACCTGTCACTAATTGACAGTGGCTACTTGCAGTTATTTAAAAAATAGAGGTCATAATGACATTCTTCCATGCACTGTACAGTATGATATTTCCAAGATATATTTCATATTTCCATGTGTAGTGTAATGTGCTGCTTCGACCTCTTTATGGTGTACATATTTTTGTCAGACTTTTCTTATAGGATATTGTGCATCAGGTATTATGCTAATTACATAATATTTCACCATGACAACTTCTGTAGCTGTAATGTTTTAGAACTTTCAGGGCTCAAATGTTAAGGTCACAGCTTGTGATGATACAGTATCTCTGGTAGGTTCCTAATAATGTCAAGTGGCAGGACTATGTCTCTAGAAGGAAGGATATTTAGTCAGGTTGAGTAGAGTACAAGTACAGTACTGTATTCAACTTTCGTTTGATCTAGTACCTGTACTTAAAAAGATTAATGAAACTTTTGATTTATAATATTAAAATAGCAATGTTTAAAAAAGAGAGATAGAGATTTTTCCAGCAGTTAAACCACCAAAAAGTTAATTCGGTATAATTTGATGTTTTCATGAAGCAAAACTTGTTGTATCAGAACTTGTTGTATCAGCTGAGGATATGGTTGAGGATATAAATACTGTACACCAATGAAGTTTCATTTAATGCCAAACAATAAATTTCACTCTTCCTCATGGATACCAGCAATGATTAAGTTGCTAATTATTGAACAAATACCCTATACAAACATTTCACTACACCATTGGTCAATCAAATATGACACTTTCCAACAAATGATAAGATTAAGTCAATATATGTTTTCCCTCCTTATTGTAATTTTTTTTAGGTTGTTTACATGAAGACATCATCCAGCTCAAGTAAAGATCCACATAACATGGTGTGTTAAAAAGGAATAAATCATATCCCAGCCTTTATAGTGAAAGTGGGCCCCACAGTCATGATGGCTCATTAGGGACAAGAAGGCAGCAATGGTCAGAAGTGTGACCTCTTTCACTTCCCCATAATATATACCGTAGTACAGTACAGTACCCATTTACAGCTGGGTGAATTGTGAGTGTCCCAAGATAAATCCACCAAGCCTTATCATCCACCTTGGTCCAGGCCAGAGATAAAGCTCATGAGTAAGAGATGATCTACAGTTGTAAAAACAATTTGTGTACAAGAAGTAAGTGTGATAACTATAGGGTAAAATGAATGGTCCTATGTAGCTATGCTGGAAGTACAGGTTTACATAACATATTAGTTCAGTGTAGGGCTGACCTATACTGTAGTGTATATGAGGAGCTCCAGACGAGGGCAAGACTGGCCCAAGATGTATTTATTGCACCATTATTCCCATCAAACTTCCTTCTAAACTTTAATTGCACTTTCTGCCATTATTTTAATTTTGTCACTTGTATTTTTTCCGCCCAGAGTGCCTCAGATGATATAGACCTTCACAATGATGATCCTGACCATGGTGTTTATTTCTGATGGATCATCATCAACACTCTGGCATCCCTGGCCATGGTCGGAAATCTCACCTCCTCGCAGTCTTTAGACGCAGGTTGTGTCGGTAACAGGAATGGATTTTCCATTTTAATAAACATCGAGTAGGGTGATCTAGACCCAAATTGCACCCTTAGAGATGCAGCTACCAGTCCATGAGGCTAATGGGAGGAACTTAGGTGGTTGATAGGGTCAGTCCACTGCTCCTGCATTTCTGCTTATGGGAGGGGTGCTCTTAGTGTGAGTTATGGCTGAAGGAGATGGGGTTGCACCAGCACTCCCGTGCTCAGCAACACAGCTTGCATCTAAAGACCACGAGAGAGTTAAAGACAATCAATAATCAGTAATATAAGACACAAAAACTCATCCACTTCAAGATTTTGTGTAAAAATCTGGTATTGTATTACAGTACTACCATCAGTAACTTCATATACTGTGTATATATATATATATACATATATATATATATATATATAGTATATATATATATATATATATATATATATATATATATATATATATATATATATATATATATATATATATATATATATATATATATATATATATATATATATATATATATATATATATATATATATATATATATATATATATATATATATATATATACACATACAGGTTGACAACCCTTTATCCGAAATTCCGAAAACCGAAAAGCTCTAAAACCGAGTTTTTTTTTTTTTTTTTTTAACAGGGATTATTAGCCCACCCGGGCACAGATCACTGACCACATCGGGGCCTGGGGGGCAAAAAAGTAATAGTAATAGTAATAATAATTATAATAATAATAATTATTCATAGTAAATAAAACTTTTAATAAAAATACACCAAAATAAGATAATAATGATTACAATAATAATAATAATAATAATAATAAAATATAATAATAAAATTAATAATAATAATAATAATAATAATAATAATAACAATAATACTGTAATAATAAAATAATACAGTAAAGAAATACAAAAATGAAAAAAAGATCAAAAGTGAGAAACACGACCTAGACCTATGAATTATTATTATTATAGTTGTTATTATATTTTCGACCCCCCCAAGCCCCAATGTGGGTCAGTGATCTATGCCCGGGTGGGCTAATACACATAAAAAAAAAAAACCCTAACCATTCTGAAAACCGAAATGCCTCTGGCCCCAAGGATTTCGGATAAAGGATTGTCAACCTGTATATATATATACAGAACACAACTGGTAAACCCTACTAAAGTGAGCTGAAAAGATACAGTACTACATATAAACAAATCAAACTTGACAATTAATGAGTAATGGCCCCCTCAACAGTGTTATTGAGAATATACTGCATATTTTTTTTTTTTAATAAAACCCTACAATGGACATAATCATCTTCCCTATTACACTTTAATCAAAACTAAAAAATATATATTTCAGTTTTCATTAAAAATTTTAAAATACTGTACAGTTTCACAAGGAAGCCAGAAAGATACTGTACATGAGTATTCTAGGTTGTTGAACTCTTTGATGTGTGGACAGCATGATCAACTTTCTGCTCGAGACTATATATGACCAGAAATAAAAATAGTTGTATCTATTATAGTCACAGTAACATTATAGTACTACGTATAGGTAAAATGGTCATTATATAAAATTACTCATGTTATACTTTAAAATCCATCAACCCATTGTTTCTTGGCTTTTCTCTTGGGCGTCTTTGATCCCCTAGAAGGTAACGGAAGAGACTGAGAAAATCTGAAAGCCTCTTTTGACGTCCGAGAACTATTTAAAACATCATCGTCAAATTCCAGGTCAGGAACATCCGAGGCATTAGCTTCTTCCTCCAGCTGTAGTTTAGACGGCAAATTTGGTAACTGTGTGATATCGAAGGGCGAAGTGTAGTAAGAGTACCCAGTCTTGTGTAAGGAACTGCGTTTTCCCTTGCTGTTGCTATTTGTTCCCTCATCCCCTAACCAGAATCAGGTAAAACTTTCATATTTCTGATCTTGTCATCTGAGATGTAGTCACCCACCATTTTTTTTAGCCACAATTTATGCTGAAAATCATTTTTAAGCCCTTTGCCAACATTTTTTCTTTTCCTTGAATATATCAGATTCCAAACATACTCGTTCACGTTCCAAATATCACTGACTTTTTCCATCTTATTACTGCCTGACTTGCCATCAACAGAGTCACCAAATTCAATATCTGGCAGTCCTTCAAGTATGTCATCAAAGTCTGGTCCACTGCCACACAGTTCATCCAATTCCTTGGAAATGGTTTTATTGGTTACTCTCTGATAAAATGGTAGTGCACTGTAGTAGGAGAAACTTTTGTTTGGTAACTTATTTACACTTACTTCAACAGTCTTCTCCTCCCATCTACTTAATATATCCTTACCATATTGAGTGATGTCTTCAGGTTCACTGTGTGGCAAACCTGTATCATTTTGATCAACTCTAAATTCTTGTGAAAAAATGTCACCATTTCCATACAATGAGAAAAACAACATGCCAGCTTTGTCATTTGGGTTGACACATGAAGTCACACCTGCCCAGCTGCTGTCAAACCGTTCCTGCACTTGGTTTCCAAACCACAGATTTTGTTTGTGGGCAAAGTTTAGTGTGTCACAGGCAATTGAGAAATGCTTGGGTAAACTTACACCTCGGCACCAAGTGTTGTAGTTGTCTGTGATCCATTCACTAGTAATTACACTTACTTTCTTCTCTTGTTTGTTTGCCAACATAAGGAAATCCAGATCACCAAATTTAAGTCTGCTTGTATAGGATGGCATTTCATATAGCATGTGTCTCCAATTCATGATGGGCATTTTACAATTCCGTTCATCCATCACAAACACAGAACTTCCAGCCACTACATAAACATACGGCATGTCACCCAGTTTTGAGAAAGAACTTATTTTTTCAAAATCTGCAAAATACTTTTTCATCTCCCTAACTTCTAACAATGTACGTAAAGTATTATCATTAACTCCGTGTTGCTTCTTATGAATGGCATCAACATGGATGCGTGTATCACACACCCAAATAGCAGACTCATTACCTACCATAAGAGACATTGGATGCCTACCAAAATTACATTGATAGTTGGACAAATCAGATTCATTCCATTTGTTTTTTAAGTTGATGCTCCATGTACAGCGTTCAACATTAGCGTCATGCAGATAAATCTCCCCATTTGAAGAAGCCAATGACCAAACACCTGGAAGAGTGTCATTCAAATCTACATCACTTATCAAGGAATTATTTATTATATCACATTTAGAACTTGTAAACTCTTGTCTTTCACCGAGAGAAACAAGCTCTGCATTTCTTTGAGACTGAATTACTATATAGCCATTATTGTTCACTTCTTTTGACACAATTTGAGAAATAGTTTCATCTTGAGACACATGAGCAAATTTTTTCAACTTAAAAAAATTTTTTTTTTCCAAAGATTCACTTGGTTCACAAAAGATGCCACCTTGACTGAGTCTGGAGGCCACAACTTGTTGCTGGTCATTTTTCCACACCGGATGTATCAAATAAATTATGCCGTTCAACTCCATCATATCCAAGCAGTTTCCGATTACGGAATGTTTACTATTAATCACTTTACTAGGAGAGACTATTTTCTTTGGTGAGAGAAGGGGATAGGCAAACTCTAAGGTCCTCTTCAAGGGGAACTTTCTCTCAATGTCCTTCTGTGTCCTGTATCTATATTTAGTGAGCTGCCTTGTGGACTCAGGGTCGTGTTCCAAAAGTTGCTCTGGAAAAATAAAAAGTTTTACTTTTCATACTTCAACATATAACAACATTACTCACTCAATTAACCTAAACATATATCATACAAGCATACCTGGAGGTACAGTACTGCATAGTAAGTCCTCGTTTAACGTTGACCCCGATAATGTTGTTTCGTTATAACATTGCTATTCTTTAGATACCCATGATTTGGATGTCCCGCCAATTCAGTATAATGTCGCCACCCTCTCCCATCTTGGTGCGCTATGCTCTCACTTGCGGAGCGTCCCCAAGTGTCGCCGGTCTTTGTTAGGCTTCCACAGCGTTCGTGCGTGTTTTAGTGTTTTTGCTCTTAAAACTGTACTCTATCCATTCTAAATGGCTTCCCCGTGTGATTTTATCAAGATTGATCTTATCCACGTTTTCATTGTGGATCTACATGATATATATATATATATATATATATATATATATATATATATATATATATATATATATATATATATATATATATATATATATATATATATATATATATATATGTTAGCGGGAGAGAGAAGAGAAGACGGGAATGCTGCGTTTAGCACGTTAAAGGGGTAAGATGCAGTTTCTTAGAACAATTTTTTAGGGGGGTCGTATGCATGTTTTCTCAGCACATGAGGACAGTGCTGTCTTTTTTTAGGGGGGTCGATTGTAATATTCAGAAATTTCAAATGCCCCGCCATTAGGCGATACTGAGCGTTCAAGGTCGTCTGAGGGAAGAGAGCGCTCCCCGCACATAGTGGGAGGTTGTGGAACTAGGCCTATATGATATTAAATGTAATTTGCCGAATTAATAATGATGCGATTCATGAAGTTAAGGGACTATTATTGAATTTGAAATTATTATAGATCGTTTATCAGTCTGAATAATGTTATGGGTGTCCCAAGGAGTTATTAGTTAGGCGGAAAATATGTCACATAGGCCTAAGCTAACGCCTTGAGAGGACACGAGGCGGGCTCTCTCTCAGTCACGGGGAAGCATTAGACAAACAAGACGTCCCTGCGCGTCCGTCACAGAAATAGTCACGTGGCCTAGTCACCTGTGTTGCACTATTGCAGTATAACAAGTAAGTCTCATTCGATCTCAGACAGGGTTAGATAGGGCAGTGGTAAAGTAAACTAGAGCTAACAGTGAGTTCATTTCAGGGTTTCCGCCAGAACCCACTTGACTTGACCGGAGTTGACCGGAGTTTGACTGCGTGAGATTGACTGCCGTTTGAGACTGCCGTTGATGATTGAGGGTGGCGATTGTCGCCATTGGACCGATCAGTGTAGGCCTGTCACTGTTTAGCGGGGTATCAAAGGATCTCTTGAGGGAATCTAGCCGTCTGGGTGCCCAGCTGACGACGGGACGATCGTTGGGGTCATCAGCTCTCCTCTACCTCGGCTCACAACCCCACATGTCTCGAGCAGCTTAGTGAAACCCTCTTGCTAACGGGAAGCTAAAGCTTCTCTCAACTGTACAAGGTCTGATTGGCTCACTCCCTTCCGCTTTATGGATGTACTGGGGGTAAAGTGAGGCCAGCTGAGTGATACAGGGTCGCACACTGAGACCATGAGTCTAGGGGATACCTAGAGGAACATTTTATCTCCCTTATTACGGGTGTATGTTGAGTTGGGTGGAGCATGGTTCACGGGTATTGGTGGACCCAGTAACAAACCAATAATAGTGACAATATATTTGGGTGTAGTTGATACCATTTCTCAGTTACTGATATTATCGTGACGTGTGTAGTTTAATATTTCTTAAACAATTTTGATAGTATTGTTTTTTGAATGTTTGTGTCACTAAGTGGAACCAGAGTGATACTGTGATTTGATTCTTTTAATGCATCTAATTTTTCTTCATAATTCCGATCTCAGGTATAACCTTTGTTTCCCAGAGTAGTGTTTAAGTTAGGTTAGGAAGTGTGCATCTGTTGGGGTGATATAATTTTGTTGAGTGCCCTTAAGGCCTATTCATTGTAGAGTTGTTAATTTCTTATTTTTTATTACCATTTCCTCAGTGACTGATATTATTTTGTTGAAAGCCCTTAAGGCCTATTCATTGTAGAGTATTTAATTTCTTATTTTTTATTACCATTTCCTCAGTGACTGATATTATTTTGTTGAAAGCCCTTAAGGCCTATTCATTGTAGAGTATTTAATTTCTTATTTTTTAATACCATTTCCTCAGTGACTGATATTATATTGAGTGCCCTTAAGGCCTATTCATTGTAGAGTTATTAATTTCTTATTTTTTAATACCATTTCCTCAGTGACTGATATTATATTGAGTGCCCTTAAGGCCTATTCATTGTGGAGTTATTAATTTCTTATTTTTGAATACCATTTTCTCAGTGCTGGATATTATTTTGTTGAAAGCCCTTAAGGCCTGTTTCATGTGTGCAAGCAACATTTCTTAATACTTCAAATTTATTGTTGCCTGAGTTTCTAATAATTTCTATATCATGTATAACTTTTATTCCCCAGAGTAGTGTTTTAAGTTCAAGTTAAGAGGTGTGCATATTGGTGTACCATTATTTGTTTGTGTTTGTAGTGTTGGAGGGAATATAAGTGTCTAAATTTTACAGTGTGTCTCATTCATCCCAGTCACAGACGCTATCCTTCCACGGGTCACGGACAATTCATTTTGTTTAGTAGATTTAAGTGTACATGTGCTGGTTCAGGATTTTTCTCAAAGGGGCACTTCCACTGCCATTACCATCTAATAATCTTTAATGAACCCCAAGTCAAGTGGGAAAATAAAGTCTAGTAAATTCCGACCGGTTACATATATATATATATATATATATATATATATATATATATATATATATATATATATATATATATATATATATATATATATATATATATATATATATATATATATATATATATATATATATATATATATATATATATAATATATATATACAATATTACACCCATACTTGGCGCTTTCGCCATAACGTTTGCATATCGCCAGTGCCTTGCCAAAGCTGAACTTTCTACTTAACGCGGTTTTCACAGCAGCGCGGTGATATCCGGCTTTCGGATACTATTTTTGAATTTGACCACGCGCCCACCGCCGCCCCGCCCTCACCTGCTGCCTGCCTCTCCTCCTCCTCCCTCCTTGGGCAATGGCGCGCGGTGGAATTGCGCAGTGTATGTCTTTATTCGCGTTATCACTGGCGTCATACCAGCGTCTCGGACTGTCGATTGGCCTGCAGCCCTACCCCTCTGCTGCCTGGCTGTAATTGGCTTAAAGTATTATGACGTGGCCTACCGGGGAGAAGCGGCAGCTGGCGGCGGCAGTTTCATCCCTCAAGCCACGCCGTGATAACGCGCATCCATTGTTCAAGTAAAAATGACTGGCGATTCACCACCAGAAGGCAACACCATACATGGACAGCGGCACTAAACCAAAGACCACGGCGTTCGTTAAACTTTCGGGCTGAAGTGCCGATTGTTCGAATTTGAAAGCAGCAAAGGTTGAGTCTAAGCAGCCAGCATGGCGTCGAATCTCACCGTTAAATACAATAAAGAAGGATACAGCGAGAAGTAAAGGCACATAAGAAGCTCACAAAGTCTGCGAGGTGCTTCAGCATAAAACATTGCCAGAACAGGGTGCTGGCGTGGCTGGTAGGTTATTTTGGTCGTCAGGCGCGGCGCCAACGTAAAGCGGTGGACAGCGCTCAGTGCGAAATCGCATACTGCGTAGGCTATCGCAGCAGTGACAAGTAAACTGGGGAATTGCAGAAACTAAACCCTTCAATACTTCCATAGTTGTGGCTGCATAGGTTTGAAGGAGAACAAAGGTCACCAACATCAGCATTGTTGGTGAAGCGAGAGTGCTGACTGCGTCACGGCGGCTAGAATTTTCCTCCGTTTTCGTGAGATTATGGAGGAAGGACAGTACACTGGCGACAGGTGTTTAACATAGACGAATCTGGTCTTTTCATGGAAAAATTACCTTCAAGACCTTCGTTTATTCAGTCCTGCGAAGCAAGGTAAAAGGCGGAAGATCTGAAGAGCATCACCGTCCTGTTTACCACCAATGCCTCCGGTACCTGTAAACAAAGTTATGATGATTCACAAGCTTCCATAAACCGCCGCCTAAAGAATATAGACGCGGAACAAGCAATGTCACTGGCTTCTTCCTGCGGCTGGCGTGGATGTCCTCTTCTCTGTCCCTCTTCTGGTTTGACAACTTTTTTTGTTCTGGCATTGCAGAAATTCTACGAGCAACAGAATATTTCCATTCAACATTTTGTGCTGTCGCCGACATAACCTTGCCCCTGGACACTCGCCCTACTAATGGATCGTCTTAGCGTAAAAGTGGTCTTCTTCCCTCCCAACACCACGTCCTTAATCCAGCCTACTATGGACCAGGGAGTTAATCTACTGGCGATTAAAGAAACGCATACTTTCGGCAAAAATTCAAGCTCTGAAACGACTCTCTACCACCAGCACCAAGGATGAGTTCGTAAGCTGGGTGACACCGACAGCGAGAATAAGCAGCGAAAGAACAAGGAACAAGAGCTGACGTCTCAGGGCTTATAAATCAGAAACAATTTTGGAAGAAGTTTAACGTCAAACAAGCTATAGACTTCTTGAGTGGGCATGGATCCTGCTGTCTATTACTCACGATTTAAATCACGCTGTGGGGGACATGTTGCATAGCATACCAGGTGAGAGGAGGTGAACCTGTGACTGGTCAGGTTCGAACCTTGCAATGTGATGAACCTTGCCAGAAGCTCGCATGAACTGTTACAGCTGAAAACTATCGAGACCACCAGCGAAGACATCATGGAGGGTGCTCAGAGATCCTGGAAGTGACTGCCGGCGGCGAAGGATGTTGGAAGAAGAACCGCCAGTGAAGAGGAGGAGGAAAGAAGGTCGTCATTCTCCGAAGAACCTGGTTTAGAGTCATGAAGTGATATTAGAGGTGTGTCATAGGTTAACAGAAAAAATTGATCCGCCGTTTCCCGCGACACTGACGATGAAGCATGGCGTCTTCATAACCGACTGGTGCAGGCTGGAGCCGTACATCCTGCGGTGTATCATAGAAACATCTAGAAGCCAGCCCGTCAGCCAAGCACTCGCCGGGTTCTTCCGCCCGCAACCCACCACAGCCAGCCAGGCGGTGATGATGATAGTAGAGGTGATTTTGGGGATTTATCGGAAGTAGCAGCAACTGTAAGTGACAATCAAATATTGATTCACCTAGTAATATTCAATTCACCTAGTAATAGTGATTCACCTGAAAGAGGCAATAATCTGCCTCTGCCTCGAGACAACCTCCATCCCGTATACGACCCATCTCTTCTACTACCGTGAGTGTTCCTTAAAACTTTTCGTTTTTAACCTATTCTTTCACCTACTGTTAACCTTCTTTTCTTCTAACTCTTCCTATATTACTTGTTTTCATGCCACCATAAAGTTAAGATAAATTTTTACTACAACACAACATAGTTATTTGTCGTCAAAAGTGGAGTTTGGGGGTAGGGCTGGAGTTCTATTAATTAATCCCATATGTTCTGTTATTCACTTAGCGGTTTCACTTCGCAGGACCCTCTGGAGTTCAATTGACATGATTAAATGAATTTATAACTATATATATATATATATATATATATATATATATATATATATATATATATATATATATATATATATATATATATATATATATATATATATATATATATATATATATATATATATATATATATATATATATATATATATATATATATATATATATATATATATATATATATATATATATATATATATTAAAGTCCACAATGAAAACATGGATAAGATAAATCTTGATAAAATCACATGGAAAAGAAACAACGAACCTTAGCTTTCGTCTTTATTCAAGACATCTTCAGAGGCTCCGTTGTTTCCCTTTTCCCGTGTGAGTTTATCAAGATACTGTATATATATATATATATATATATATATATATATATATATATATATATATATATATATATATATATATATATATATATATATATATATATATATATATATATATATATATATATCCAAAATTTTCTCTATTTTCTTCCATTAATCATGCGCCATTATCGCCTACTGTACCTCACCTCCCTCACGGCGTGTCTCCTTCATAAATCATCACGTGCATGCGTTCCCGTACATGTCACGCAGCCGATAAAAAGCGTTTTTGTTCTTGCAACCAATTAAAATGATTTTGGGTTTAATTCGCGGTATTTTCGGCCCAATCAAATTCAAGTTTTATTTTGGGTCTCTCATGTTTCGAAATTCAAATTCAGTTCCTACCATGGAAGTCTGCGATGGATGTCACTTAAATTATAAGGAGCTGATTGCGAGTTTTTGGGAAAAAAAACGAAGACACTATAGCATTTTTCGATCGCATGGTGTTCTTCCAACCTCAGTAAAGTCCAAAGAGCAAGACTGAATGTAAATATCGCAAAGACCAACATATGTGACGTTGTGTAAGAATCTCAGAATCCAACGACGAACAAGGACCAGGCCAATAAGGTAAGAAATAGGTGATTCATGGTGAGAGTCAGTTAAGTTAGGTTTGGTTTTTGGTTTTCTAGTGTTTTTTGGTGTATTTTGCCATTATTTTTTTCCTAAGCACACACAAATAGGTACACTAGAGAAATATATTTTTGACTTTCTAACAGAGTGTGGTGTACAAGTGCAAATTTACCCTAAAGTCATAGAATTGTCTAAACTACTGATTCCAATCGTTAAATTTATAAGATTCCCTGGATGACTGAAACTAAAATTTTACCGGAATATGAAGGTTATCAATGGTGTTACAAGTTCTGTGAGACAAGTCATCAAAGGGGTCCCACAAGGCCTTATTTTGGACATTCTTCTTTACCTGATTGTTGTTAACCTTATAGGCTCCCAACTAAAGGTAAAATACGTGATTTTTGTTAATGACCTGAAGTTGTTAACCTTATAGGCTCCCAACTAGAGGTAAAATACGTGATTTTTGTTAATGACCTGAAGTTGTTAACCTTATAGGCTCCCAACTAGAGGTAAAATACGTGATTTTTGTTAATGACCTGAAGTTGTTCCCAACCTTATTTTTAGACCTGCTTATAGGCTCCAACTAGAGGTAAAATACGTTGTTAACCTTATAGGCTCCCAACTAGAGGTAAAATACGTGATTTTTGTTAATGACCTGAAGTTGTTAACCTTATAGGCTCCCAACTAGAGGTAAAATACGTGATTTTTATTAATGACCTGAAGTTGTTAACCTTATAGGCTCCCAACTAGAGGTAAAATACGTGATTTTTGTTAATGACCTGAAGTTGTTAACCTTATAGGCTCCCAACTAGAGGTAAAATACGTGATTTTTGTTAATGACCTGAAGTTGTTAACCTTATAGGCTCCCAACTAGAGGTAAAATACGTGATTTTTGTTAATGACCTGAAGTTGTTAACCTTATAGGCTCCCAACTAGAGGTAAAATACGTGATTTTTATTAATGACCTGAAGTTGTTAACCTTATAGGCTCCCAACTAGAGGTAAAATACGTGATTTTTGTTAATGACCTGAAGTTGTTAACCTTATAGGCTCCCAACTAGAGGTAAAATACGTGATTTTTATTAATGACCTGAAGTTGTTAACCTTATAGGCTCCCAACTAGAGGTAAAATACGTGATTTTTGTTAATGACCTGAAGTTGTTAACCTTATAGGCTCCCAACTAGAGGTAAAATACGTGATTTTTGTTAATGACCTGAAGTTGTTAACCTTATAGGCTCCCAACTAGAGGTAAAATACGTGATTTTTATTAATGACCTGAAGTTGTTAACCTTATAGGCTCCCAACTAGAGGTAAAATACGTGATTTTTGTTAATGACCTGAAGTTGTTAACCTTATAGGCTCCCAACTAGAGGTAAAATACGTGATTTTTGTTAATGACCTGAAGTTGTTAACCTTATAGGCTTCCAACTAGAGGTAAAATACGTGATTTTTGTTAATGACCTGAAGTTGTTGGTACCCCTATACTGTACCTTGAAGGGGAGTGTGTTGCTGGGGGTCGACCTCCAACCCGGCCCCTACATTACCCCAGTCTGGGTATACATAATGACGTCGACCCTTATTGTTATATTGGATATTCTTATCCAAATTCCAGATGGGTGTTGACCAGTGTTGTTTCTCCATGACACAACACAACAGCAACACAGCTCCAGGAGACCATCCACGTGTGTTGCTGTGACCAGTATAAACAACACAATTCCAGGGTTGCCAATGTCGCTAGGCTGGGACCTAAAAGTAGCTAATGTCGCTAAATCTTCCATGGAAAGTCGCTAGCTATTATTCCTTCCTCCCCTTCAGTAATTTGATGCATCCCAGTCCTCTCCGTAGTGTGAACAACTGTAGAGCTGGAAGCATGTGAAGTGCTTGGTTCAGGTTCTCTTGTAACTGTATGCCTCCACAGTCCCTATATCTTTCTTAAAATATCACTAGGAAGTTCATAACAGGTGTTCTGTCTTTTTAACCCATACTTTATTGTAAGAATTGCCTGTAATGTCGATAGTTTCATTTTGTTGCGCAATTTTGATTTCACAAAGTTCATATTACTAAATGTGCGCTCTACATCTGCGTTTGAATGCGGAAGAGATAAGGCAGCGAGTGCAATTTCAGCCAGATCATGGTAAGGGTTTTCACCTGTTGCATCTCTGTAATTTGCCACTTCTGACCACAATTTTAGGGTGTTAGATGCATGGACGGGCTGACATCAAGTGATCAGGAAATAGACGTGTCCCTCCTTCTGTACCACGACCCGTTCAAATGTATTACTTTTATCCTCTTCAACATTGATCGGCTCGCTAGCCGCCCGGGCGATCGGTCACGTCTCTGTCACGCACTGTTGGTAAGTACTGGGCATGCACCGGCTCCTGAATGTACCTGAACCCGCTCCAGTGTTGGTCAAGTCTTATCTTGAAAGAGCTCACACTCGGTGCCGTCACAACACTCTCTGGTAGATTGTTCCAAGAGTTTACAACCCTCACTCCGAAAAAGTTTGCCCTCACAGTTTTCTGGACTTGTGGCTTCTTCAATCTTGAGCTGTGACCCCTTGTGGGGCGAGCGTCCGCCAGCTCCAAGTAAGGACACTCAACTGAGTAGTGCCCCTCGAGATGCTTATAAACCTCAACTAGGTCCCCCCTTGCCCGTCTGTAGTATAAGCTAGGCAAGTTCAGGCGCTCCAATCTCTCAGGGTAGCTGAGGTGCCGAAGTGCAGGCACCAGTTTGGTGGCCCTCCTTTGAACATTTTCAACCAACTGACAGTCCCTAGCATATCTCGGGGACCAGACGGGGTGACAGTACTCCAGATGGGGAAGCACTTCACTCCTGAAGATCGTTACGAGGGACGGGCCGTCTAGATATCTGAACGACCTTCTTATAAGACCCAATAATTTATTTGCGTGATTTACCTTTTTCTCACAATGGCCCGAGAACTTCAGCTCATTGTCAACATACACACCTAGGTCCTTCTCACACACAGTCTCAACTAGTGCAGTTTCTTCATCTCGTTGGGACATATGATACGCCTCCTTACCGTTGGTACGCCCCAGATGCATCCTCTTACACTTCGTGACATTGAATCTCAGCAGCCATTCCTTCGACCATTCCTGGAGCCCACAGAGGTCCTTCTGCAGCTCTCCACAGTCCGCTTGGTTCTTAATTTACCGAAATAACTTGCCATCATCGGCAAACATTTGTATAGGGGAGTGTACAACGTCAGGCATGTCATTTATGAAACAAAAAAACAACAGCAGGCCCAATACACTGCCCTCGAAATTAGGAAAACCGAGTTTTCATGGACAGTCCAAAAGTATCCAGAAAGTCGCTAGATTTCTGTGGATATCTCTAGATTTGCCACAAGTCGCAAATCGCTCTAAAATGTCGCGAGAAAAAAACAAAAAGCGCTAGATCTAGCTACAAAGTCGCTAAGTTGGCAACTCTGGACTATTGTAGTTTGTTGACTATTGTTCAGCTTCACACTTTCTCTTTAACACCAATTTATGAAAACCATGAAATCCATTTTTGACGGAAAATAAATACATAAATAGTGTGTAGATTACAGTGACATAATTTTAAATAAGTTTCACTTTATATAAACCGTCTCGTCCTAAAGTAAAGAACATGTGTTTCCAAACGTGTAGACACTATCATAAAATACATTATAATTGTTTAAAATTATATATTTATGTAACCATCATCTTTAGTCTTGATAAACCGATAACTCATGAAAACGAAACTGTAAATAAAATTGATAACAACTATCACTCCATGTAATGCACGAGAATACAGCTACCTTAATTTTTTTTTCCACAGATGTATTTATCATTATAGTAACTAGTTTAAAATATGTAACATTTACTAGAACCTAATAGAACCTGACCTAAACAACCTAAAGAAATCTACCTAACTTCCAAGCCAGCTTTGCCCCCCAGCCATATTAAACAGACATTTTAGGTAAGGTTAGGTAGGTTTCTTTGGTTAGGTCAAGTTCTACTAGGTTCTGTACATTGTCATATAATTTTTATTAGTCATTATCATCCAAAGAACTTCTGTGGAAAAAATTAACGAAATTGAACTCCACGTTCTGGTGTTAACTATCTGCTCCAGGATTACCCAGATTTTAGTTAGTTGTGGATCATCATACTAACATTTATTTTGAGTCATTCTCTGAAAATACGGTAATAGATTATTTGGTACTTCCTTCACTCCATAATTACTGCTCATTATTTGGTACAGTAAATTTGGAGAACACAGTTAGCAGTAAAAATAACTTATGTAATTGGACCAAAATTTCTGGAGATACTAATGGCATGATTCAAAACACAAAATTGGAGATGACAATGCACAGAACCTGACCAAACCAACCCAACCTAACCTAACCTAACCTAACCTAACCTAACCTAACCTAACCTCCCCCCCGCCATACACACATAATAAGCAGAAAGAACTTACTTGATATCTGGTACCAATGGGAGCAACTTTCTTGAAGCAGCATTGTGCTAATTTTATGTTTATCGGTTGTTGCACTGAAACACATACAGTGCAGTACTCGATATTTCTTCTTCACTGTCAGTTCTCTGCTGCATTTTGAACATTTGCTCATCTTGCCAACTAGTTCATGCTAACAGATGTACCCTTGCAGATTGTCTTCATCCTCCACAAGCACAGATAACTTGTGATGCAATTAACAATAACCAGTACAGGGCACCATATCTACAGTTAAATTTTAAAATGGCTCGTGGAAGGACAAGAAGCATAGGAGCACACAGTTCACTTAGAATCCAATGCTACTCGAAATTTTTTTTTAATGTATCCAAACCCCTAATATGAGACTCGAGTATTCACTGTGTTGAGTGAATGCTCGAACTCAAAGTATACTGTATGTCTCCTACCTCATGACCATCAACTTAAAAACTGTCCATTCATGCCAAAAAATGCTGTAGTCTAACCAATGTACTGTATGCCTTTCTTAATATGACAAAAGAGTGTTGTTTACTTGTGAGGGAAGTTGTGTTATTGTAGTGAAGATTGAAAGAATCAGTGACCAGGTGATGGTGTTAAAAAAAAAAGTCCTGCACAGTATCAAGAAATATATTAGTCCCACAGGGTTCTGTTCTTTGACCTACTCTCTTCCTTCTTTTTTTCAATGATTTACTTCACACTACAACTAATTCTATCCATTCTTACGCTGATGTTTCTACTCTTTATTCGCCTCCCCATTTTCCCCTTCCTCCAAACTCTCAAACTAGATCTTTTCTAAAGCTGATATCATTACTTCTATCAATGCGGATCTGTGCAGCATCTCTGAATGGGGAGGTAGAAACTTGGTTAAGTTCAATAGTAATAAAACTCAGTATTTACCAATTACACTTTGTAAATTAGATGATCTCCCACCAATTACATTTCAGGATGCTATCCTTCTGCGAAATCTGAAATGGATATGTTAGGCCTCACCATTTCCTCCAATATGTCATGGAAATCACACATCCTCAACATAGCTAAAGCTACCTCCCGAAAGTTGGGAATGCTGTACAGATGCCGTAGCTACTTCACTCCTGAGCAGTTGCTTCAAGTATATAAGGGATTCATTCGTCCTAACTTGGAGTGCTGCTCTCATATCTAGGGTGGTTCTTCTGTCCAACTGTTAGATAGGGTGGAATCAAAGGCATTTCGTCTGATTAACTCTCCTCCTTTAGTTGACAAACTTTCTTCCCTTTCTCTTGGCCACAATGTTGCTTCACTCTCTCTCTTTTACAGGTACTTTAACAGGCAATGTTCAGTGGATTTGGCATCCTGTGTACCGCCGGCAAGGCCATGGGCTCATAACACACGTCTTGCCTGCGGTGCCCACCGTTTCTCTGTGGATGTCGGTCACACTAGAATAACCTGTTATAGTACATCCTTCTTTCCTCACACAGCCAAACTGTGGAATGCTCTGCCTTCTTGTGTTTCCATACTCATACAATCTGTCTCACTTTAAAAAGCTGGTTTTTCCAGCATCTTCATGGTGTAGATTAACACAGTACGTATAACCTTTTTCTTCTCTATTTTTAATTTCTTTCTGGTCTTATTTTTTCACCCCGTAGGCCCTGTTGTGGGTCTTCGACTTGTGCCCGAGTGGGCTAATTCCCGTAAAAAAATTTATATTCAGTATATACTGTTATAAATATATTTTTCAGGTGTTAATGAAGGGTGACACTTGAGAGGCAGTGCTTCCCTCAAGTTCCAATGATGCGTTTGTCATGGATTATGAGTCAGTCAAGTTTCCTCTCCCCTGAGGTAAAAGATCTACTGCAGAAGGCAACACCTGCCAGCAGTGGCCAGGTGGCAGATTCAAACTCTATTTCATGGATCCGTCGTGACTGTGGGATAGTTTGGCAAAAAGTCGAGGAACTGTTTACAGGTATAGTACTACAGTAAATCTGATATATAATATATAGTATAGTCTATTAAATTCTACTGCACTGCTTGTATACAACTTTCCTTATCATTGACTGGGACTTTTTATGTGTTTAATATTGTTAGGTAAGGTACAGGGTGGTCAGAATGGATGTTCCTTAGTGTTAGTTTGTAACTTTACTCCATGTCAAACATTTCATTCCTGGTTATTTCCTTCATTATCTCCTGGAGGTGAACTTTAAATAAACAAATAATTAATTGACAAACCATGAATACAGTACAGGAATTTACATACAATATTATCGTAGTGTTTACCATTTTGCTATCTCACTGTACTGTACCATACTGTACTGTACCATCCTGTACTGTACCATACTGTACTGTACCATCCTGTACTGTACCATACTGTACTGTACCGTACTGTACTGTACCATACTGTAATGTTCCGTACCGTACCATACTGTACTGTACCATACTGTAAAGTACTGTACCGTATCATGCTGTACTGTACCATAATGTACCGTACTGTACCATACTGTACTGTACCATGCTGTACTTTACCATCCTGTGCTGTACCATCCTGTATTGTACCATACTGTACTGTACTTGAATTTCAGAGTTAGATTTTTTTGCTAAAATATGTTCAAGGATAACTTCTAAAAGTGTTACAGTAATTTATTTCTGTTCTTATTTTTTTGCCCCCCCCCCCAGGCCCAGATGTGGGTCGTTCGACCTGTGCCCGGGTGGGCTAATTCCCGTTAAAAAAAAACCTAATGACCACTCACTAGAGGCCTAACACATAGCGAGTCAGCAGAGATGGGATGACAAAGGTAACCTTCTCAAAGACACCGAATGGTCAAAGGACAAATTATGAAGTGTTTCTTATCCATACAGTGTGAACTTATACTGTTGCCAACTGGTGGTTTAGAGTCAAGGTTGGTGCCCAGTCAATGGCTGTGACCTCATACAATACAAAGCTAAAAAAAAATTGGAGAAAAAATACAAGTGAATTTTAGTTTCAATGACTAAATAGGTGTATTGATCTTGAAACTTTGTGCTTCTGTCATCCTGCAACATTTATAATAAAAGACCATTTATTTTTAAGGTAGCTCCTGATGTATGTTGACTGTTTTCACTTGTGTAACTAATATATTTTAATTCATCTGTAAAGGTTAATAACATATTTTTTTCCAAAAGTGGCGCCCCAAAGACATATCCACCACTTCTTAACTCTTAAATTGTGGCCATGGAACAATAACTGGGTGATTTTTTTTAATTCTTAAGAATGTAGTTGATTCTCTTATGAAATTACAGGCAAGCATGTAGAATAACAGAATGAGAAAAAATTATTTACTTATCTAACAACTCATCTGGTGCATGTTTTTCTCCATGTTCAATTCCATAATACTAATACTCAATAAAAGTGTGGCTGCACACAGTTTGCAGTCAGCCTTATGTTTTTTTTTATGTAAAATCCTCAAAAGTTTGTTTCATGTGGAGACAAGAGAAGCAGCAACTCATACATGGTCCAGATCAACTTTACTGTCTTGAGATCTTTATTTTCAGACATAAAAGAAGAAAATGGGAGTAAAATCTGGTTCTGTGAGGCTGTTGTCAAGATGGCTTCACTTTTTGGTCACTGCCATAACTCATTAAAGAATCTCACACAAGATGAATATAGTGTCAATATTTCCCCATTCTTGGAGTGGACAAATCAGGTACAAATACATATTTCTTCATACCTATCAAATTTCAGAGTACTGTAGATATACGTTATAAAAAAGCATACATTTAAGGTACAGTTCATGCAAGTTTTAGCCCAGCATAAACAAAGGCTACTTATACAGTATACCTGTATTAAAAAGCTGTTGAAAGTAACTACATGGGGCCCACGACTTACAAACGGGGTTAAACTTGAAATTTACAGTATTTTATTTACCTGATGATTATATATTTTTTACTTTCATTCACTGTATTTTGTCTTTCTATTTCTTCTTTTCTCTTAAATTACTTTATTTTAGAGTTATATAAGGACTTAGGCAAGGATATAGTGGGATTTTAAACATTGTTCTGTAAGTACGGTATTCACATATGTTCCAACTTAAGAATGTCCTCAGGAACGGAACCCGTTCATAACCCGGGGACCGCCTGGACTGTATAACCTTGTCAGGAAGATTATAAAAATATTATTTTTCATTTTTGAGTTCAAGTGTTAGTGAAGAACCATTTTATAAAATTTATGTATTTTTCAGGAAGATGACATTAATGTTTGCCTGAAACAGATATATGAAGGTAGCTGTAACAGTGGCCATCTTGTGGCCCTCCTGACCATCACAGCTGTGACTGAGAGAGCTTTAGGAAATGTAAGTGGTCAGTTGCTGTCGACTGGAAAGATGTAGTGGTTGTTTTCATTAGGTGTCCTGAGGTGGCAGGAATATCCTCCTTAGGGGCACTAAGGTTGTGTTCACTGACCTCTAAAATTATTCTTTGTAGCCCCAATATTCTTCAACATAGACAATTGATTTTTATGGGGATGTGGTCATTCATGTTTTTTGTCATTACACATACAGTACATCATCGGATATCTGTGCACCCTGTATGTACTGTATATGTGCTTGTATTATTATAGGTAATGTATAGTACAAATACAGTGATATCCCCGTTAGCCGGAACAATTGGTGCAGAGCATTTCCGGGAATGAGAGATTTCTGGGTAACGAGACGACTGTCTTAAAGCCGGAAAAAATCCGTCATCCCCGGAGTTATCCGGGTAACAAAAAAATTTTCTCAGAAGTTCCAGAAATTGCCCATTACATACTCTCTCGAACCCAGAAGAATATCCATCATCGCCGGAATTTTCCGGGTAACGGAAATTTTTTTTCAGCATTTCCAGAAAATGCGCCTGATTTTTATCTCTCAAGAAAACTCCCCCATCCCCGGGATTTTCCGAGTATCGGGAAAATTTTCTCTGAATTTTCCGGAAAATGTGCCCCTCGGAAAATCGTTCCCAAAGCCGGAATTTTCCGGAAAATTCCGGCTTTGGGAACAATTTTCCGAGAAAATTAAAATTTTGGCTATCGGAGAGTTCCGGGTTTGAGGGATTCCGACTAACAGAGATATTACTGTACAGTATGTGCAGCTCCTCTTCGACTTACGACTGGGTTAGGGACCCAAATCCAGGTCGTAAGTCAGAAATGCTTAAATAATACATAGAAAATCTAAAATGGGTGTCTCTTTTTCTTCTCAGCACCACAAAACTCTCACTTTTAGCTTGCCAGCCATTTTAAAGTGAATTACAAACGAAAATTTTGTCAGTACACAGCGCAATCACTGACGTTGGGACTATAAAATACGTAATTTGACAAAATTTTGGTACGACTGAGGCGGTCGTATGTCCGGGTGGTCGTAAGTCGAGTAGGTCTTAGGTCGGGGAGGAGCTGTAAGTATCTATGTCTTCATCCGTCCAATAATAAGTATTTGTTATGGAAAGTTATTTATCTTGATATTTTTTTCATCCTCTGATGACTAAGGGTTCGCTTCAGTTGGATAAATTTGTCTGGCGCCCAGAGAGTTAATTGTTGATGGACTACAGTAATTTAATTTCTAACCTTGTTACATGCTGAAAACCTTAGTTATTCAAGCACCACGCAATACAGTACAGACACTCCCTGGGCTACACAACACACAGTTTACAGAAAGTCGAGGATACAGAATGCCTCCCATAAGCCCCATTATAAAAAATTTCAGGTTGCACAAGAGTTTCTGTTATTAAGGAAGGTAACCAGTACGGCGTAACAACACTGTTTGTGGAGGGTTATGTGTAAGGCGGCTGAGTGCATCCCCCTGGGAGATGCCATCTGTGATTCAGTACAGGGTACTGGAACCTTTCCATGAACCGGGGAGTGTATACTGTATATAGTTTTTCTGCTCCATTTAACACAACAGTAACAACTTCAACAAAATTTATCATTTCTCACATTCAGAACAAAGTAATTCGGGTAAAGTTGTATGAGATACAGTAGATGAATTTCTTAACATTATAACAACATTAATTATGAAACAAGTGTTCTAACCCTTTAAACTTATCATTGAAAATATTATTAAAAGAATCAGTTCAATGCATAGTACAGTATTAACTTCATTATAATCCCCTTCATTACGGGACATCACCTTTCCTGGTAATATAATATTTTGTTAATGCCAGACAATTTTATTCAGCACAGAGAGACACAAGGAGTACACCATCTACAACTCAAAATGCGTGGATATATATAGTTGTCACATTGTCTGTCAGTTTGGACATCTTTTAAAAACATCTTCTTAGAACCTGTTTAACAAATGGAGAAATATCAATAAAACTTTGCCTAAACAAGTAGCTTAGTGACCCAGAGTGTCATGTACTGACTTCAGGATGATGTATCTTGAACTTGTCATATTCCGATAGATAGTCTTCTCAATCAGTTCCAATTAGCTCTTGTACAGTACAGTAGTTACTTTACATGTATACAGTTGGGATAGGCTTAACATAATGTCGAGTAGAATAACAGTATCACCAGTCACCAATTCCCTTCATAGTTACTATAAGAACAACAATCTACACTTAGAACTAATATTCAGAGAAGATCCTAATTAACATAGCATACAAAGGGTTTGGCATCACTATATAATAAGTTTAAAATTCATTGGAAATCAATATAAGTCGTATAAGATATAACGGTGTGAGTCGTGTCTCTTGCAGCTGAAGAGTTTTTACGACAACCATTTTAACACATTTTTACCAAAGTTTTACAGCAGGACTTTGTAATTTGCATAGGTTTTCATGATGGATATATTTTATTTAATATATTTTTTTTTCATCTATCCTTGAAGCAACTAACCTTTCCCACAAACACAGGATTATCACCGTGATCATTATTCCATCAAACTTTATTCATTTTCATTCTTGTAAGGATTTTCCCATGATGGCATAGAGTGGCCAGAATCAACATTAACACGCATCTCCCCACATCTGTTGTCATTTTAATTGCCTTACTTAGTTGGTTTCTGCTGTTGTACCCTTCCACAACAAGGCCTCTGGTGTGCCCCTCTTGGCTTTATACAACACTCCAGCATCATGTACCAGTAAGTTCATCAAACCTAAAAGCTACTTGACTCTATTAGACTCCCTGGGTAAACATGTCTATCCCCTGTGGTACCTCCCTCACCCCCATCCTTTGTTGATAGTCCATACATGTAAAGCTTAATGAATTGTTATATAATTAATATGATGTGTTCTTTCAGCTTGTTCTGACGAAACGTGAACAAGTTCCATTTTTACTCCGAGACCTTCTTGTTACAGAAGAATTACAGGAGATCTTGGGGCCAACAAGGGTAAGGAGTTAGATGATGCTGTATTAGTTCAGCTTAAATAAATAATAATTTTAAGCATACAGTCAGTCAGCCAGTACTGTGGTCATCCTCACTTGTTCTTTATTTATTGGCTACTCTTTCTCTTTGACTGGTTAAAAGGAAATTAAGCAACAGAATTTCCATATACAGTATTAATATACCTGCTGAGACCCTAAACACTAAATCCCAGGGAGTGACAGCATCATTGTGTGTTTCTTTTTCACTCAAGTCAGAAAAATGGGCAATTTCAGGAGACACATTCACCCCACCTGCCAATTTTGACTACAGTGAGGCTGAGGGAGCAGAGACAGATCTGTTAACATAATATTGTCTAATAACAGGTTTTTGTTTTAATTTTAATTCAAGTACTTTACTATATGAAATACCCCATCTTCCCAGTCCATAGTGAAACAGTCAAATGACCTCATTGTAAAGGATGTTAAGATGGTTTTTATTTACAGCTGATTTTGTTGAGTTTATAATATAAAATTTTTACATTTATTTATATACTGAGTAAAAAGAAAATATAGTCGGTTAGGTTACGTTGGGGTTGGTGGCACTAAAATAACATCAGTGTGGAAACCATTTACCCACATATAGATATAAATACTGTACACATCATCACACCACAAGTATCGTATAATTGAATAATGAAATATAAAAATCACAATGTCAAATTTATATGCCAAATATTAATCACAATAATAAACTGTACAATTACATTCATCGATAATGAATGCAACTCTGAAAAAAAAATACCTTCCTTTTTTTTTATCTGAAACATCTTTTAGGGGCCTTAGGTGTCAGTTAGGGTAAGTGCAGTTGTAAAAATGTAAGATTCAGGAATGTGAGGAACATTGTGATGTGGCCCAATATATATCTTTTTGTTCAAACTGTAGTAACACTTGATTTTGTTGCCAGGTCCAGGTACTGAGAGTGTTGCTTGGTTCAGTGTTGGGCATCAACCTGCGTAACATTGCCTGGCATGGCTTCCTCAGTCCTTGTGAAGCAAACCCAGCATTTGTTGCCACCATCATCATTATCCTTGCAGACTGTGGTAGACTCCTCAGAGACTACCAAGTTGTAAATGTTCCTTGTAGACCAGTGATGTCATTCACAGAGGTAAGATGGCTGCCTTAAGAGGTCTTCTGTCTCCTGTCATCCCGGGAGAGGAACATAGGAATGCATACTTTCTGTTTGTGCATCTGTCCATGTGTACAGGAATTGTGAACAAGTAACAGTGGATTTTAACCAGATGTGTAGATGTGTCACTACAAGATGTTTGGATGGGGGTGGGGGGTGGATTATTTTATAACATCAAATGAATTTAAATATTATTCGAATTATGATGAAATTCCATACAGTCATTTTAAAGGTGTCACAGGGGTGATTGAGCCTACTGGAGCATAGGAAGGGAATTTTCCACTCAGTCCAGCCACCCAACCTTCCATCTCTCCCACCCATAATTCAGTTCCAACTCTTCATTTTCATGTCTTATAGTAGTTTTATATTTTCTTTATTTCTAAGTCACATTAAAGCATTGAAATGATATTTTCACAACTTTTTTGGTTTATGATGTAAATAAACATTGCAGCAATTGCCGTTCCGCTGGAAGTTTTGAATATTTGACAGCGAAATTTAAAAATGAGTTAGTAATAGAGGCACCTGTACCTGTGAATTCAAGAATGTGAATGTGTATTTTGTGAATTGTTGCAGCTCCACTGTACCTCCTATAAGAGGTCAACTATGATAACTACAGGTATTGTATCTCTCGTTTAACGGTGAGGTTGATTTCCAGAAAACCTAAAGTTAAGCAAAAATATCGCTAAATGAAGGATAACAAAGAAGCACAGAGGGCGAACAACAGGTTCAAATGCCAGGGTGATAAACACTGAGAACAGTACTCCCTCCTTTAAACGAGTTTGTTATAAATGGTTTTGAAGTTAAATGATTGATTTATTAACACCAAAAATTCTATATAGAGGATGTGGTTCAGAGTTAAACAATTTAGTGAGCACGAGGTGAGTCTAAATCAAACAAATTTTAAATTATGTCAAAAATTATTAAAAATTGCTATGTTAAACAATAAAATTGCTATACTGTATAGCATATCATAAAATAGCACATATTTTATGTGAAAAAAGCTCTTTCCACACCCAAACTATCCTCTGGGTGAAGAGACACAGTTCAGCCAGGCAGTCACCCATCTGACTCAGACGTGTGTAGCTGCTGCTGTGCTGTGTGTATGCCATTGGGGAAGAAGCACAGCTGGGCTGGCAACATGGTTACAACCCACTGCCGCCACACATACGTTCACTTCCCACACATTCACACACATGCTCTTCAGTTTTCTTATTTTATAGTTTTATATTATACACTCTTTATTTCTAAGCGCATTCGAGTACGGTATTGTACAGTCGAGGTCAAAAGTCTTGAACACGTAACAATATCTGGCATCTACTTCTGAGTTATACATCTATGATTGGGATATACTAATAACACGACTTGTCATCACATATTATGCCTGAACCACAAAATGGGATAAAACTTCTTAATACCTAAGATCTTCGGGTACTTAAATGCCAAATACTGTCAAGTGTGCAAGACTTTTGACCCTGACTGTACATGTAATAATTTTTCCACAGCTTTTATAGTTTCATTACGTGTAACAATGGCAACCTATTAAGCCATCTCGCAGGCCACGTCACCCCCAGTTTTTCTTCCATCCCAGTGAGTCAACCTATCCCTAAGCAGAATTTTGACTTTGTGTTAAGTGAGAAAGGGTATCAAATTTTTTACTAAAGCGAATTATCACTAAATGAGGGATACATATGAGTATGCAATAGATTGGTATTGGGAGATCACTGAGCAGTATTTTGAGAGGAATATTACAATTATTTATGGGTCCATTTTCTTTCCTTAACTTTCATCATTTCTTTATGTAGATAAAGAATGCGGAAATTGTACAGTCTCTCCTCGACTTACGACATATTCGACTGACGACAACCCGGACATACGATGGCCATGGTCGTTTAAAATATTTTTCACATTACGTATTTTTGAGTTCTGACGTTAGTGATCGCGCTGCGTACTGACAAAATTTTCGTTTGTAATTCCTAAAATGGCTGGCAAGCGTAAAAGTGAGAGTTTTCATGGTGCTGAGAAGAAAAAGAGACACCCATTTTAGAATTTCTGTGTATTATTTTCGCCTTTTCGACTTACGACCAATTCGACTTACGACCTGGTCGTCGGGACGGAACCCCGTCGTAAGTTGAGGAGAGATTGTATATTAATTTTTCCCTCATTACAAAATAATCTTGAAACATTAATAATACATATATTTTATATTTTTCAATAATTTTTTCGACTTTTCAGGCAGTTAGTTTGAGCAGTGTATTTGAAGAGGTTGCTATCCCTCCCAGACCAGTGATGGAGGAGTTGATAACTAAGTCTCCCCTTGTGCCAGCCATCATGACTCCTGCCTGGATGAAGGCACTTGACCTGTTAACTGCTAAAAAGTAAGATGATCAAATATTTTGGCCATTTTAAAATATAATTATAATAAATTAGAAGGTTAACTAAAGGTAAATAAGGAGATGGTCTAAGTTTGAATCCAACCATAGCAGATATGTTTCCCTCCTTACACTCTGACCCTTACACCCAGCAATAAAGTGAGTACAGTACACTGTCAGGTGGTGATGGTAGTAGCTCGTAGGTCAACTGTCTTCCTGACAAGGAAATGGAGTGACCTACAAGTTGCTGAACAATGGTGGGAGTTTCCGATGGGTGGACCATCAACTAACTTAAAAGTTAAGGCAAGAATCTGGGGATCATTGCCTCCCCTTCCACCCTGCACCATAACGGGTAAAATCTAGTAATACTGAACTGCACAGTATAGGTAAAACACTATTATTTTAATGTTCAATGAAATGTATTGCATTTTAACAAATTACTAATTTATGAGCAAGAGTTTGTGGAACGAACTTATGCAGAATATTAGATAACTGATAATTCAGTTATTTTCAGTCTCCATTGGAACATAGTAACTCATGATAAAACTTCAACTCTGTATTTATCATCATTTATTTCAAATAATCTCACTTTGTCACTCATTTAAAACATTTCCCACGACAGTATGTCATAATGTGGCTAGAAGCAAGACAACTATGTACCCATTTTATTTGCTGTCATTTAATCACTTACTGTTGTAACAGATGTGTTCTGCTGTAGTTTTCTCCTACCATAACAAGAACCCAAAAATCTGTCTGGTTTACCACAGTTGCTTCACCCAGCCCAGCATCACATCCATATCCTAAAATCGCTCATCACTTGCTCTGCTGTTCTTCACCCACACAGTTGCTTCCTGGATGTTCTTTTGCTCACATTTATAATGCATCTCTTATTTGGTCTAATCCTCTGCCTCATACCATATACTGTACTTCTGAATCTTACTCTCTTTTTGTTAGTCTGTAAATGTAGCCAAACCACTTCAGCAAATCAAGTGACTATAATTTTTTATACAATATATCTTTCCAGATGGGGATTATGTGTGGTGTTACTGCTGCCCATGCTGGAGTGTTCTCTGAGATGCCTGTTTGCATATGCTAATGAAGTGTCGGACAGAGTCTTAACTGCTGAAAATTCTACTTTATATACTACATTGGATGAAATTCTACAACCTACTGTATGTAAAGTGATCCATAATCAAAGTGTGGAGCAGCACAACCAATACTCATCACATAGAAACAGTGGCAGTAACATTGATACTTCAGCTGAGCAGCATGATAAGCCGCCGCTCACAGTTGGTATGGTAGAGATATTAAATAGTAATCTTGTATTGCATTTTGTTGGGAAGAAACTTAATGAAGCACTGCACGACCTCTTAAATTTTGTTCAAGGCCCTCGTGTGCGCGACCGAGTGAGCCACGGGGAAGTTAAATTTGACCAGATACCTCAGAGTGTAGCTCACCACACATTGTACCTCAGTCTGCTTGTGCTCTCCCTCGGAAATTGGAGATCAAGATGTAAAAGAACTTTAATTTGTAAAACTCTAAGTTGTATTAGTACTAAGAATATTGATTCTTCAGAACCTGGAGAGGACAAAATGTGTTGTGATATGAAACAGAAGAATAATGAGAAAGAAGCAGGTACAGGTAATTGTGAAATGAATGTGTGTGTTTGTGGTATAAATCTTGACTCCATTGCTGTAAGTGAGGCATCAGAGAACCTAATCAATCTAGTTAAAGTTCTAAGTGGATGCATTGAAAAGTATAAGAGTTTTTACCACCCAACAGCTATATTTCACAAGAAACTGCTGTCCTCTGTAACCCAACTTAGTGAGTGGAGGACATGGGAGAGGGCAGACTGTAGTGAGTTAGATTATGATGACTGGGAAAGCCAGATAAGTGTGAGTTTAGAACTACCACAGATGATAACCTTTCCTCCTTTTAATATTACCCACAAGGTCGTAAGTCTTGATAATGTACAAGAATTTATCTCACAGATTTGTAGTATTAATTATGAAGTCCTGTACAGACCAAAGCCAGAGATTGAAGTGGTATCTATGCTTCACAGAATTATTTTAAATGTTCAGTCAGCACTTGATAATATTTGTGAAAATTTAGCAATAAAATATTCCCATTATGTACAAAAACAGCTTCGGTCGAGGCAAAGAGAAACATATCGAAGACAGTTAAATGCTATCCCAACTGTAATAATGAACTGTTATCTTACAGTTCAATTTATTCACTTGCTTTTCCTCTCTGTTAACAGAATTGATCAGTTGAGTAAGTCTTGTGTCCATAACTTACTCAAGGTGCTCAAGGCAGTGCTCAAAGTTCAGGAGAATGTTGTGTCACAAACAAATGTTAATGCTAATCGTTGGGATGAAGCCATGTGTATCTCTCTTCAAAACATGAAGGTGATCAGACAGAAATATTCAGTTTAAACATTCTTTTGTTGAATACCATAATTACTATACTGTATACATTGTATTTGTGTGTTTACAGGTAACAACTAAGAAACATAAAAGGTGGTCTGATCACTTTTTGTGATTATTCACATCTTCCTAGATTACTGTGCAGAAATACCTTGCTATTTGCAACCCCGCTGATCCGCAATTTATATTTTAATACCCTATTCGATATTCGCAAAGCACACCCTGCTTACTCCCCAATTTCATCATCTCTGTTCATTGTATATTTTCAGCCTTCAGGCTGCCATGTTTTCTTAATAAACCGTTAATTATTATTATTATTATTATTACATGCCTTCTCCCGCATGGGACAAAAACACTCGTGTGAAGTACCTAAGTAAGGCCCGACATAATGAACGTGCGTTTGTGTGGACTTAGCAGGTTGCCAAGTTAGATGTCACCGTAGGTATATCACCTTACCTGTCCTCCTTCGAGGCAACGCTCTGTTATTGTTATATTTTAACTCATAATTCCAAGTACTGTATCTATAAGTATTTTTATTTTTTTTACTCTGTCGCATCCACACAAAATTGTTCATACAGAATTGCCCAAAAAATAAAAATAAATTATTATCATAAGGTAAAAAACAAAGATAAAAAACATTAATCCCAAACTCAAAAGACAAAACCACAAGATCCACATGGTGTCAGATTTAAAATGCATGAATCTGGCCACTCGGTGTGCTGCTGTCACTCACATGTTCCCATTCATAACTGAGTGTGCGGCGGGGCAGCAATGTTTTTAAATATACAGAATTTCACTAACAGTAAGCCTTCCTCCAATGTGTTATCAAAGCTATTCCCCATCATCATCCTGAAGACAATTTAAATAATGCTGAGGGAAAATCAAGACCCAACTCAGAGAAGACACCAGGAATAAGACTACTTCTGTCCTGGAGCTATTTAACAATGGTCTTGGTTAATTGTCACTTGAGGAAGATTCCAGGGATATGATGATAGCAGTCAGCAATGTACTGAAGCTAGTGTTGAGTTGCAGGGACAGTGGACACAAACAGAGGTTTCTGTTATGAATGAATGGTGACCAGGACAAGATTCTGATCTATGTCAGGGATGACTGATAAAAAATATTCCCACAGACAAAATTCTACATGGATGGAACATTTGCAGCGTGTCCTTGACTAGAGTATTTTCCAGTTGTTTACAGTGAATGCCACCATACCTGAACATTCTCCACTACAATAGTATATACTCTCCTTCCCAACAAGAAAAGGGAGAATTAAAATAGGTCCTTTACCTTACTGAATAAAGCGCTCCAAAACCTAGACATTTTAATTCGCCCACCACATGTTCTGGTAGATATAGGTTCACTACAATCAGTGAAGCTACATTGTCACCTGCTATTTTCACTTTTCACAGAGTCTATGGACATGGGTACAAAACAGCAGCCATTTAGTCTTGTATAATGAGCACAAGGATTTCTGCAATCTTGTGCAGCTGCAGCATCTGTGGCCTACTTAAATAGAACCCTCCTTTAGTTACTGCGCCTACTTGTATGGGTCAGCATCAGCTGTCATTGTAAAACAATTCTCACTAACTTGGACCTCAGAATTTCAAGTCATCAAATGGAATAACTCACTCCACAGTAGAACACACAAACAGCCACCTGGAGGACTGACACAAGAAGATGAACTGTCTCTGGTTGGTAACATCCTAATATTTACCACCTGATCTCTCTGCAGTTGAAGTTAAGACTTAAAACTCAGAAGTGGAGGACGTCCAATCCAGAAGCAGAGGAAGTGACAACAGATGGATAAACAAATTGAGCAGCTGCAGATGAAGTTCTTCCAAGTAAAGATTTGTTGTTGATTCCCTTGAATCTGTGGCCTAGGAATATATACATGTTAATTATTTGTTGTTTTATTTTATCTTTACAGTATACAGTAGTTTATTAGTGTTGTCTGCAGTATAATCATAATACTGTACCCACAAAGTAAACATAATGGGAACAGTAATCATTCTAAGAGGAAACAAATTGGGATGTTGCCATACAGACACACCAATATGTGGAGGTAAAACAAATAATACGGACACCACCTTCACACCATGCCCTGTAGATGCTGTAAACACTAGCCTGAGTGACAATGATCAAGGCTTTACATATACAGTAAATGTACTGTATACGAGGTGTGATCCAAAAGTTCCCGGACTGGCTTCATAAAATCTTTATTTTCAATATATTACAGTGAAACTTTAATCACCCTTAAAATATTCTTCAGAAGCCTCAATGCAATGCTGAATCCCCTCCTCCCACTTCTGGAAGCAGATCTGGAAGTCCTTGTTGGTGAGGCTGGAAAACACCTGTGATGTGCCCTGGATCTCCGCTCTGTCCATGATCTTCTTCCCCTTGAGGTTCAACATGAACTTCGGAAACAGCATGTCATCCCAGTGCTCCCCCCCACCCCCCATACTCTCCAGATCTTGTCGCCTGTGACTTCTGGCTGTTTCCCAAGTTCAAGTTCACGTTTTACTTGTGTTATTGTTTGTCTTCCAATTGTTGTTTTTTCTTAACTATTCTTCTTTTGGGCCATTCGTTCTCTTGCTTGTTTTCTTTACTCCTTTTTCTCTTTCCTTTCTTCTGTCTTTTCTTTCTTCTTTTCTTTTCTTTCTCTTTGTTCATCTCTCTTTTCTTGTTTTTTCTCTTTCCTTTCTCTCCTTTCTTTTCTCTTTTCTTTCTTTGTCTCTATCCTTTCTTCTCTCTTTACTTTCTTTAGTTGTCTATTTTCTATATTTCCTCCTTTCTTTTCACTTTCCTTCTCTTCTTTTACTTTGTTAATTTTCTTACGTTTCTCCTCACCTTTCTTCAGTTTTCCTTTATCCTTTTTACTCTTTCCATCCTTTTCATTCAACTCATTTTTCTGTGTTTTACGTTTTCTTATCTCCATTCTCTTTTTATTCACCCTATGTCTCTTACCCTTTCTCCTCTGTCTCATATTCCTTTTATTTAAGTCTTTACTGTTGTTATTTTTAATTTTCCTATTTCTCCTTCGTTTTCTTCTTCCTTTCTTCGTTCCTTCAGTTTGTTTCCTTCTGGTTCTCATCTTTTTCCTTGGGTTATTATTATTTCCCATCTTTTTCATTCTTCTTAATTTTCCTCTATTATTAACTTTCCCCATCTTCTTTGTCTTCTGTCTTTGTGTCTTCATCATCACAGGACGCCCTTTCCTCCTCCTCCTCTTCCTCTTAATGAGCTTCACATTTTTCTTCCCATTCTTCTTGAGTGTCTTCATCCTCTGTACGACCTTCCACTTCCTCCCAGCGCCCCGGACGAGCCGTTGTAGTTGGCGCTGCTCGTCCGGGTCGCTGAAGAAGGCACTGAGGTCGGTGTAGCGGAGTTTGACGGGAAGGCGCTTAACTCTCACATTATGCTGCAGGAGGAACCTCTGAAGGGGTGCTGACACCATGATCAATTTAGCTACCACTGGGTTCTGATTCTTCCTCCTACTCCTGGTTTTCTTTCTTGTTTTTGTCTTCATCTTCATCTTATTGTCTATCATCCTTTTCATTTTTGCTTCATTCTTCTTTGTCTCTCCTTTCTTATTATTTTTTGTCATCACTTCGGTTGTCTTTTTTGCATTGTTTTTCTCCCCCTGTGTGTTCTTTCTTGCATCTTTCTTCACATCATTCTTCTTATTGTCTTTCTTCTCTCCCCCCTTTCTCTTCTCTGAATCCTTCCCACTTCCTAATTTAATCTTTGTATCCTTCTTCTCTAATTTCAGGTCCCTCTTCTCCCTCCTCTTCTTCTTATAAATATTTCTTGTAGTCCAAATAATTTTCCTAATTATTCCAGTATCTTTGATTAAATTTTCTTGTTTTTCCTCTGTTTTTCCCATCTGTTTAAACTTTTCCATTTTCTCGACGACTTTTCCCGGCGCCTCGTGAACGTTTGTCGGAGGCGAGGTCTTGATGACGTTGTGTCGGGCGTCTCTTGTGATGCGGGTGGCAGTGGGTCCCTCTCTCTCTATATCAACTTCGTCGTCATCTGCTCTCCTTACCCTGGATGACGAGGGTAAGACTGATTTTGTAGTGTCTTTTTCAGTGTCTTCCTCATTGTATCCATCATCATCATCATCGTAGTAAATATCGTCATAGTAATATTCATCGTCGCCGTCGTAATATTCATCGTCATTGTCATAATATTCATCGTCATAATATTCATCATCATAATATTCATAATAATCATACTCATCACCATCCTCATTATCATTGGTATCTTCATTACCTCTTCTACTGTTGCTATCATTATTTTCATTGTCATCATTTTCTTTGTCTTTTTCTTTATCACTACTGCTGTTTTCTTCAATTTTAGCATCATTTTCCTCATCATCGTATTCCTCATCTTCATAATAATCATAATAGTAATAATATTCATCATCATCACTCAAGTTGTCCTCCAAGTCCTCATCACTTATCTCAACCTTCGTGTCAACAACATCCACATTCTCCAGGGGACTTGTGATGGCTTCGTCTTCTCCTTCATCCGTATAATAGTAGTAATACTCCAAGTCCTCACCTCCATCAGTCCCTCCAGAGGTTGTTTCAGACCCCCCAGATGTCGTCGTTGTAGACCCCGGCACTCTAGGAATGGAGTCGTCGTTGCCTTCCTCACTAGGCTGAAAGATCACATTCTGGCTACCTGGCGGACATACCTCAAAGTACAAGTAGAAGTCGCCCTCCTGGACAAAGCAGCCAGTAGTTGAGAGGGCAGGAAGGTCTTCTACAGGAATAAGGACATCCCAATCTACAGCCGTGTTGGACAGTGTAGGGGCCAGCTCCAGGGTGAAAAAGCCACCTCCTAACTTTGGATTACAGTCACCCTGTTGGACTGTCGACAGCTCCCACAAGTCCATGCCAAGGCCCTGACAATGAGTCTTTATTTAGTATACACTTGAAAAAAAAAGGACAAAATAACAATCCCTTAATTTTATCCCCAAGATGCCTTACTAAGATCAAGAGAATACTGTATTCTCAAAAGATTTAAAGTCTTCCTTATACTGTATCATATCAGGAGACCACAGACACATCATACAGGCCAGAGATAAAAGTAAGAACTACAAAAGAAAAAGTGAGAAAAGGAAAAACAGGATTCCATTATACTGTATACAGTTATACCCTTTCTGTGACCAGCGCTCTTACATAAACATTTAGTACTGTAGTGAATTAAATAAACTATGTAATGGAAATACTCTATAACACTCAATGCCACAATAACCTCACTACTAGGGTCTGATTAACACCCTTTGTGACTTCTACTCGGTAATCCTTTTTTTGCACTAACGCATACAGGATGAGTATGGGGTACACAATAAACAAGCTGGTGTCTGCGGCAAAATTCAATTCATACATTAAGCTACACTTCTGAGGGGTCAGTCACGTCACCAAGCAAAGTGGAGAGCAGTGACTGTTCCTGGTTTATCTTATAATGTGCTAATTAATGACTATGTAGACAAGACTGTGTTAACTACATCGTAGGGGGTCACTGTTGCTCCCCGTTACACCTATATACTTGTACTAGTTAAAATAATGATAATAATATATGAAGAGAGAATTAGAAAGTAAGAGAGGGAGAGTGTGTGTCACCTGCAGAGTGGTCCTGATGTCGATGAGGTTATCCAGGGGCAGAGTGGCGGTGCGGGAGAGGATGAGGCCAGACTCCAGGTGCCCGAACATAATAGGCGTACAGCTCCACATCACCGCCCAGTTGGTGTAGTCTGTTCCCACCACCTCGTGACTCACATCATTATACACCTCTACAGAAAAAAAAAGGTTATAAGCTATTAGAAATGGGCTCAACACGTACACATTACACCCTATTAGAACCTGTTAGGTATAGAAAAAAAAGGTTATAAGCTATTAGAAATGGGCTCAACACGTACACATTACACCCTATTAGAACCTGTTAGGTATAGGTTCAACACGTACACCTACTACACCCATGGTTGTGGAAGTCATGGATAATTGTGACAAGTTTAGACTGTGATGGACCTGTCATCATCATGGGAATTATACACTAAAACTGGAGTGTGGCCAGATAAATGCACACACTCTTGTATAGGGCCTATATAACAAAGGAGAATATAAATTTGAATGGTTATAAAGCATATTTTAAGTTATAGAGATATGTGAATGAATGGGCTTTAAAAATTAATGTCCTGCCAAATTTACCACGTACAAAAATACTCGGGTGTTAGGGAGATACTGTATATGTATCTAGAACACGACTCACTCTCTCTCACACTCACGGGAAGGTAGACGTAGCACCATGGAGGCAGGATTCTCTGGGTTGGGGAAGATCTGTGCCTCGTAGCGAAACTTGTGCACCACCCCCGCCGCCCTCAAGGAGAAGAGCTGTTTGTCCACCGCCAGAGAGAAGCTGCCAGGGGAGGTGGTCGACTCACTCAGTGTCAGGGAATAGCACCTTGAGGCCACGTTGGTTCCCTGGATCACATACCATTTTCCCAGGAACTGTAAAAGAGAGTGAAAGAGGGCGTGTGAGTGGCAGGGGAAGGGAGAGTGAGGGTGGCAGGGGAAATGGAGAGTAAGGGTGGCAGGGGAAATGGAGAGTGAGGGTGGCAGGGGAAGGGACTGTGTGTGTGGGGAGGGGGGGGGGCAGAGAGAGTGGGTTGCATAGTACAGTATAGTTATTTTGCTAATTAAGACAATTATATTCTAACTTAAACCAACCAAACCTAACCTAAGCTAAACATAACATCCTAACCATAACAAACTTAACCCACCTTAATATAACCTATCTTTAGCTTAATTAAGAATACACCCTATAGCCTAAACCTATATTAAAGTATACATTATAATTAATTTAACCTAGCCAAGTATATTTAATCTAGCCTAACGACCCCTAAGGTGGTTTTAGCTAGGTTTGGCTGGGGACGTTTCGATGTTAAACAGATGGACGTTACCAGAGATCAGGATTGAGAAACACGAACGTAAACAATAAAAAAGATGAAGTTTTTAGTTCAATAATATTTATTGACAAAGCTTGGAGTACTGTTTGCCTATTCTGAGTAATTCAGTCAGGTCTTGGCACTGAAGGTGGTATCACTGCCACGCAGGACAGAGGTTCATACACAAAGGAATAGATCATGGCAGTGAACAGTGATATCACCCACATGACTCTGACCTATCTAATATACTATAGGACTAGGCGTGTGTGTGTGTGTCTGTTCTGGGCAGCCGAAACGGCACAATCGTTTTTCATCAAACTTGGTGGAAAAATCGCAAAAAAATCGTAGAAAGGAACAAACCTGGTCCCATGTCGAAGGTTTCTTTAGGAAGGCATTAATTAACCATTTTATTTACGCTGGAAAACAATGTCGCTGTATGCTGCCATCCTTCCTGAGGTTGCGCGCTAGCCGAACTCACCACCGGGCACGAAGTGCCCACGATCACTTGTATATACTACTACTGAATATGATGTATTTCTTTGTGTACGAACCTGTTCTGCATGGCAGTGAACAGCGACATCAACCCACATGAATCTGACCTATATATACTGCTAATGATTATTACTTTTACTTTTATCTTCTTCAACACTGATCGGCTCGTTAGCCACTTGGACGATCGGTCACGTCTGTTACTTTTCTTTTTCTTTTATCCTCTTCACCAATTGATCGGTTCGTTTGCCGCTTGGGCTAGTACTGGGCATGCACCGGCTCCTGAATGTACCTGAACCTGCTCCAGTATTGGTCAAGTCTGGTCTATGATATATTCCTTTGTGTATGAACCTCTGTCCTGTGTGGCAGTGAGAAGTGATACCATCCTCAGTGTCAAAAAGATGAAGGAGTGAAGGAGACGGAAAATGAACACAATGTGATGAATGATGGAAGAAAGATAGAAATGTGACTAAAGGAAGAATGAATAAAATGTGTTTGGAGAAAGAAACACTCACATGACACAATGCAGGAAGGATATAGTGAACTTATGATTAAAATAATACAACGATCGATGAAATCATGAATATATAGAATGACAAATTTAATGATAATAGATAAAAAAAATAATACGCAAAAATGTATTTCCAGTATGGTGTGTAATCAAACGGTGTATTTTCTATTCCTTTTATACACTGTTTATAAATAAATAAAATAGATAAGAAAGCAGTAACTTAACATTCGTATTGTCTATAACATATTTAGTATTTAAGAGTAAGATAGGCAACAGTATTTCCATAAATCAGTAGCTATTGGGCCTTCACTTGCTTGTTTTGGTTCAAAGCAGTCGAATTTGCCTTTCAGTTTATTTACATTATTATAACTTTTTTATTTACATAATTATTGGTTTCTATTTGTCTGTGTAATCGGTGGGCGGAGTTACTATGTGATTGGTCGTGATTATGTGATTATTCTTAACTGGAATAATAGTATCGGAAAACCCAGACTTAACATCGTAATCAATAGTTAAATATCTGAAATTTGAACTTATGTTGCTTATTATGCACAGCCCCTTGTGCTTCGGATACCCTAATATTAAATATTCATTGTGAGAAGAAGGTAAATCAGGCAAATAAATTATTGGGTCTTATAAGAAGGTCGTTCAGATATCTAGACGGCCCGTCCCTCGTGACGATCTTCAGGAGTGAAGTGCTTCCCCATCTGGAGTACTGTCACCCCATCTGGTCCCCGAGATATGCTAGGGACTGTCAGTTGGTTGAAAATGTTCAAAGGAGGGCCACAAACTGGTGCCTGCACTTCGGCACCTCAGCTACCCTGAGAGATTGGAGCGCCTGAACTTGCCTATACTACAGACGGGCAGGGGACCTAGTTGAGGGTGTATAAGCATCTCAGGGGCACTACTCAGTTGAGTGTCCTTACTGGAGCTGGCGGACGCTCGCCCCTGAGGGTCACAGCTCAAGATTGGAAGCCGCAAGTCCAGAAAACCGTGAGGGCAAACTTTTTCGGAGGGGTTGTAAACTCTTGGAACAATCTACCAGAGAGTGTTGTGACGGCACCGAGTGTGAGCTCTTTCAAGAGAAGACTTGACCAACACTGGAGCGGGTTCAGGTACATTCAGGAGCCGGTGCATGCCCAGTATTTGCCAACAGTGCGTGACAGAGACGTGACCGATCGCCCGGGCGGCTAGCGAGCCGATCTTTTGGTGAAGAATATAAATGAAAAGAGACGTGACCGATCGCCCAAGCGGCTAACAAGCCGATCAGTGGCGAAGAGGATAAAAGTAAAGTAAAAAATAGTAAATTTAATATTCAAGTCAGTTATACCTCGACAAGTATTAAAGAAAACGAGGTTTGTGTCAGTGTGAGGGCCCTAACCCGTGGAGTGGTGCCACATATGACATCTCAGTTATATTAATACTACGATGGAATACTTGCATAATAATTGTTTTAAGCCTCTTAGATAATTACATAAGCTTGTGTTACCATCAAAGAGCAACGGTGAGATAAGAATCAATTACATGTCATAAAAAGTGTTGTGTTTAGCCAAGGAATTGACAAGATGGCGCCGTATGTGGAGGGGGAGGAGAGCTTCAGTTTGGAGGACATTGGACATTCCCGCAAGGCCCCTCTCACCATACGAAAAAGTGTTAATGTGTTAATTTATTTTTATCCTGAATGAGCAACATTATTTTGCACTTAGAATCCTGTAAATAACAAATCATGCGCTTATAATCCACTATTTCAGTATCTGATTTATTTTCAATATTTAAAATTCCTTCCAAATATGATAATTCTCGATACTGGCGCTAGAAAAATGAGGTGATGGAGCAGCGCCATTTTTTATTTAAAATATGATGATGGTCCATTGCACGCCCCATATTCTACGCTGCATTTGATTTAATACATCATTTCACCAGTTACCGGTACCAGCTTACTAGCCGTTCAGTTCAGCCGGTGGTCTGTTCTTTGTTATGAACTTTATTGTCCAGCGTTAGGTTAGTACAGGAGGAAACTGGCGATGTTTGGTAACTTAATGAAGCCTTGACCAGTTCTTAGTCATGCTTGTTTAAATTACATTTTAAGTATGAGAAATTTAAAGGTAATGCCAGGGGTTCAAAGCATGGCGCTGTTGTTTAGGCCTACAGACACACACACACACACAAACAGCGCACACGTACACATACATATGCGCACACTCTTACACACATACTGTATACAGTATCGTATCAAAATGAACGATCTACAGTGAGAGTACTGTACAGTATTTTGGCTATACCGAGTCGCTAAATGACTGACAAACGAACTAGCTGAGACTAATAAACTAACATACAGTATTAACTGATTTAATTGACTACGACGTAACGAGACTGGCGAACTGACGGATTGATTGGATGACAAGCCTAAAAAAATAATCTTAACTAAATGGCTGACCCAATCTACCTTAATCGAACCATTATTATTCGGGCCCATTAAGGACAGACTCCCGGCCCTAAAGGTCATGTTATGGTTTGGTCTATTACGAATGGCACTTGTGAGCCCAAGGACTGGGGCCTATTTGACCGGTCACTCTTCTTACCTTCTGCAGCGAGAAATCGGATACTGTGGGGGCGATTGACTGACACTGGCCCGTCTTGAACTGGTAGAGGTGACCAGGACCCGCCTGAAGAAGTACTCCCACCGCCAACACCCACCATGGACCCCCGATGGCCCCACCCATCACCACCCTCTTCACCTCAACACGTGTTTAAGTCTGCTTGGCTGGGTCGTGTAGGATTAAGTCACCGGGAGGGATTCCTGACTCAATGGCCACTTTGAGTCTTTCATAACACACTCATCAAAAGGCTCAGTCGTCAGTTTGAGTCAACACAACGAAGGACGTCTACGTGAGTCTCTCTGGCATGCTGTAAGAATCCTCTTCAGGACAGGTGGAATTCCTTTGACTCGGGCAAGTTCAGTCCTACACTAAGATCCTGAACTCAGTCGCCATCTTTAGTCGTCAGTGGTCGTGATAACTGCTGGTCGCCTTCTGCTGCTGCCGGGGAGATGACTCAGTCGTACAACTGCTATACACAACTACCATATGGGGTTGTCCACTCTTGAAGCTACAAGTTGAATTTCTTCGATTCCGGGCGTCAAATTCACTCACTAAAGGAGCTTAACAAGAACTATTTAGGAGATTACAACAGACGGGAGGATCAGTGACGGAAGCATCAGTCACCCAACCACTGTGGTACACCAGCCAACACTGACACCAAGGCGGATATACATGTGTGTCATCGCGGAAGGTATACACATTCACTCACTCTCCCGCTCCGCTACTTTTAGGTTACCCAACACGTCCTTGTTCCCGTGGCCAACGGTGACGGCACCCCACTTAATGTATGTCACCACTGTTATGACGCTTGTGGTGGTAGGGGAGAGGGGAGCAGTGTGGTGGTAGGGGAGGGGGCAGTGTGGTGGTAATGGAGGGAGGCAATGTGGTGGGGAGGGGCAGTATGGTGGTGAAGGGAGGTGTGGTGGTAGGGGAGGTGTGTGTGTGGTGGGGGGGGGCAGTGTGGTGGTGAAGGGGAGGGTAGTGTGGTGGTAATGGAGGGGGGCAGTGTGGTGGGGAGGGGCAGTATGGTGGTAGGGAGGGAGGGGGAGGCCAGGTTTCATGGGCCAAAGTCTAAATTGGCATTTTTTGACATTGGCCCTTTTCGAACTCAGCCAGAGAATTTAGCATGTGAAACGCTCTAGCAACACAAATACCTGTATGTTAATTCTGGTGTGGTTAAGTTAAGTTAGGGTGACTTAAGTTAGGGAAAGTTAGATTAAGTTAGGGTGAGTTAGTGAATGTTAGGCTTGGTTAAGATATGTCAAGGATAAGTTAAAATAGTCATAATTTGTTACCTTTCTCCACTATATAACTTATGACGTAGGAAAAAAATTGCGAACCGGAACTCAAAGCCAGGAATGATGTGTGGGTAGGGGTGGGTGGGTGGGTGGGTCTGTGTGAGCTGTATTGTGTAAGACCTGTGGTGTATACACACACACACAAACGGAAGACAAATTTGCATATTCATCATCACCTTTTTGGTACAGGTACAGTAGTTGATGAGAGAGGTGCCACTAAATAACTACATAACAGTCGAATAATAATAATAATAATAATAATAATAATAATAATAATAAAAGGAAATACTGCATTGTACTTTACATTAGGAGCACAACTAAACCAACTGTACTTTTATTGTACTATCGTGGACAAAAGTTCGCTCCCTGTAGTGAAACTGAGACGCGGGAATGAGTCTCCGAACTGACTTACCCTGGTTGTTATCTGGTGCGGGTGTGCTGTGCGGGTCGATACTGCTTCAGTTTGGGAAGGAGCGAACTTTTGTCCACGATAGTACAGTTCCGTTCGTGGTACACTTGCGGTGAAGGGTGCATAATCTGTTGTACCCTTCCTGGACGATAGGTCACTACGCTGACCCTCCCACCAACACACACAGTGGAACTGGCAACGGAGCAGTGTGATTCGAACGAATACTCATCAAAAGAGAGATTGGAAGGATATTAATGTGAATATCGGCCAACTTCACTGCTGATGGGTGATGAAGATGTGTTAATTTTTTGTTGACGAGAGCAGAAATCTAAAGTGATAGGATTATCCACTCGAATATCAGAATACAATTGGGGTTATAGTTTCGAATGAACAATCACCTCTTGTATGATTAACATCAGCAGTACGACGAAAACGGTCATCAATAGGGGTCATCAAAATATTTCTCAGTCTAAGATAATGAGCCATAAGTGTAAACAAGCACCACAACCGCCACAAATTGCTAACTACGGTATTCATCCCCCCAAAACAAACTTTATTCTATGGAGTGATTTTCTTTATAAATATTGTTTTTCTTTGACTCTGTTATGAAAATAAATCTGATTAATCTCTCACAAAACAGTACTGTAACTGGTCAAGTAATTATTTTGATAACCATGACTAACTTTAACCAATATTTACTGGTGCCTAACTGCCAATCTGTCTGGTAAAATGTGAAGCGTTTTGTAAAGGTTAGTCTAAAGTGCATCTTTATTAAACCCTATAGCACTATTTGAAATTTCTAGATCATGGCATTCATATAGTTAAGCGTTTTCAAATATCCATGTAAATTACAGGATAATGATGTTAAAAGTTTATAGTTACCCCAAAATTACCATCATCTCTCGATACAAAAACAAGTTACTGCGGTAAATATTTGATTCGTGGCTGTCATAGGTTTTTGACATGAGAAAAGGTTTTTCTGGCGTATTTAGATGTGCTTCAGATTTAACTGATACTGTAAAACTTAATATGAATGTATAAAGTTTTAAAGACAGTTGGTAAATGTTCTATATGTTAACCAGCAGAGTATATTAACAAGTCTTCTCAATACACGAAAGTCTTTTGAAGTGGTGTTACTATGGTGAAGCATTTGAAGAAGTGGTAGGTCTAAAAAGAGTGCAAAGCCACCAAGTGCAACAATATTCCTAAGCGGCAAGACAGTCTGAAACGCAGTGGTTGAATAATTAAAATTTTCCAACCTAATTTTCAGGAACATACCTAAACACAGTATAATTGTGTAAATTTAAACAACTTCTCGTATATTATCACATAAACATTAATGAATCTAAACTGAGACCATACCAGGATGTTTGGTGAGGAAAAACAGAAACCAACACATTACTTGACCAACCTCTGAAGGTCGTCTGCATGGAAGCGGGGCTGAAATACTTCGTCTCCGAGACTCCTTTTGTCATCTAACGCTAACTTCAGCTGATCACGGTGACACATACACCTTGAGGTTTTCTTCATAAGTTAATATATCAGTAATTAGTTAGTTTGAAATGAGCAGCAACACTTAAAAACGAAGAAATATTGGGGACCTGAAGGCTGACATCTTCGCCATGTTAGTCACTAAGGTAGACATGTAACTTTAGAAAATGGATAACACATCTTAAAAGAAAATGAAAAACATTACAGGAGAAACAATAAAATTTACGGTAATTGCCAAAAACGTACAAATGCTACTAAAAATTGGTTATTAGGTGTGTTAAGCTACATTGGAGAAAGACTACCCGACGGTGGAAAAAATCATTGTTTCAGATCAGTAAAAGTGGACCTAACTACCCCAGAGAAATTGTCAGAACAATGATAAATAAATGATTCATCCTGTTTGTGGTCCTTCTATAACTATCCATTACGGGAGGCAGTTCACTTAACTTACATAAATCATTAAGGATATCAATCACAAGGTCATCGCTGAAGGTCATCTCAAGGTCACATGTTACCATTATCAAGAAGCTGATACAATTAGTGTTAATATCGTCTTCATACACTAAATAAGCCACGTAAGAGTTAAAATGGTTTACGTTATGATATCGGAGTTATCGTCATATTTGTTAAAGTTAACTTGGGTGATCCTGAAGCTTTATGCCAGTTTATTTCACCTGAAGATTAACCACCCTAACGCTATCCTAATTTAACGCTAACCTAACCTAACCATCCTAACTTATCTTAATCTTTGTTATGTTTGTTTCATCAAGTTCTTGTATCTAGTTCAACTTAGTCAGTTCGTTGTTTACATCCTCAGTCATGGCAACTTTAAACTTAAACAGATCCTCAGGAATATTGTAAAAATATATCTCTCTAAATCAACTAAACCCTTAGCCACAATGTGAACGCTTTAATTACACACACACACACACACACACACACACACACACACAGAGAGTCAAGTGACAGCCATAAACCCGTGACATGATCCCTTAAATTAGTATGAACGTCACTGGCCCCGTGATGGCATAAACATTGGTATCTATTAACTGAAAGACGGCATCTGATTGGCTGATGCGTTAACCAATAGGAGGGGAGCGGTAATCTAAACAACATGGCGTGCCAGAGAGAACTTTCAAATGATCGCCTGGAGATTCTTCCCCTTAACTTATTTCACCTGAAGAATTCCCATCCTGACACTATTTGAGGGATGTTATAGGTCATAGGTTAATGTAAAGTTGTTTAATCTTCAGGTGTAATAGGCTGGGAGGGGATATTCAGGTGATCCCGATCATATTGTGAGAATGATTGATATTTTTATGCAGTAAAGCTCGCCATGTTCCTCCACCCACAATTTCTTGGACCCTCCCTTTTTGATATTCCTGGATCCATCCAACATGGCCAGCACTGCACTAGACCGCCTCCACTTCCCCAAATGTATAGGGATGAGGAGGAGTACCAGGGGCATGGAGCAACAACCCAAAGAACACCATGTGAGCAGACACTGTATTGTATTCCATCGGCCGTCATGTCCACTAACTTAAGGGACTCTGTAAACACAAACATCGAGGGACTCTGTAAACATAAACATCGAGGGACTCTATAAACACAAACATCGAGGGACAACGAGTGGTTATAACAATTAGCATCACATACCACATTAATGTTTGTTTCTACCTTGACTATTGAATAATCCAGTGTAGTGTATGTGTGTGTGTGTGTGTGTGTGTTTGTGTGTGATCATTGTATCAAGTGACGTCACAGTGCCTGGCGGATGTAGTGAGAGTGGCCTTATAATACCTCTAATCCCCTCACCTGCGTCAGTTCCTGCTGGTGGTGGCTAGTGAGGGTGGTGTTGGTGAGCTGGGGACCACTTAGACACGTTTGATCATCACTGGGTGGATATCAATATAAAAGCCTTATCTAGTTTACCGTATTGTCGAGGAGTTGAACGAAAGGATTTGTGACTCGGATAAACAAGGAATGACGCAGATAAACAAGGAATGACGCAGATAAACAAGGAATGACGCAGATAAACAAGGAATGACGCAGATAAACAATAAAATGGCACAAGAGATAAAGTGTTAAGAAGACAGCATCAAGAACGTCACTCATGTTGTAAGTAAAAAAGTGTAAAGTGTTATAAGTTCACTTTAGTTGTGTTCTTGATGGCGTGTGACAAGTTATACAGTAGTTGTTTCAGTACAGGTGTTGAAGATCAAAACACTCAGGTATTGTCAGGTGTTAAGGGATACCTGCCTAATACTCATAACCTTAATTTATTTTTCTCACTTTGGTCGAGTATTTAATCTGATGTTTACATAGAATTAATTATGGACTTAAGTACAATGTCATAAGTATTAACCTAACTAAATTAACTTAACCAAACCTATAATAATAATAATAATACGTTGCTCTTGTGCCCTGAGAGATGTATAGTGTTGGTCACAATGTGGTCATTATCTCTTAATACCAGGTCACAGTATCTCTCTCTCTCTCTCTCTCTCTCTCTCTCTCTCTCGTCATCAGTAACAAGTGTTGTGTCTGACAGATCCTTCCTGGTGGTGGCGGTCCTGCCTGTTGTGTGGTGCTCCCTCCTGCCTCACTCCTACTCCAGCCCTCTACATGTAGGGGGCCCCTCACCTGCCCTCCACACAGGGGGCCCCTCACCTGCCCTCCACACAGGGGGCCCCTCACCTGCCCTCCTCACAGGACAGGAGGGTGTCAGGTCTCCGGGTGTAAAACAAGACACAAGTGGCTTATCAGATCACGACCAACATGTTGAGGTACGTGTGTGTGTGTGTGTGTGTGTGTGTGTGTGTGTGTGTTAACCAGAAATACAAAACAAAGAACTAAAACATAATGTTGTAACAAAAGGATTTAACCCTGACCTGTTACTGCGTATACAGGACGATGCCTATTGTGTACTATGTGTGTGTGTGTGTGTGTGCCTGCGTGAGTGTGAGTGTGTGTGTGTGTGTTACAGTGACCCCAACTTACACACACACACACAATACACTCTAATAACCCACATTACCTAACCTAACCTCACTCACAATGTGTATAGGTCACAATGGCGCCTGTGTGGACCTGTGACTATACTGACTGCCTGACATACTGTTGAAAAAGAACGGACAAACAAAAGCACACGTGGCTATTTAGCTCACAACAAAAGGAAACACGTCGCTCTGCTTTTATATACTCTACGGGGTCATTGGGGTAACAAAAGCATAATGTTGCGTTACAGTGAATGTGAGTTATGTGTTCTGTAACGGGACACAGGCTATATTATTAAGTAACGTTATGTATTTGTGAATCTCTATTATATATTCTGAGTTATATAATATTGTTTTATATTAAACCATATCACCTGAGGATTAACTACCCCCCTTATGATTAAATACCTTGATATTACGGGGGTTAGGTTAGGTTAGGTTAGATTAGGTAGTTATAAAGCATTAGCATATATCATTAGTACAGGTTCCTATCATTAATGCAAATATTATAATTGTATATATTAGTCATATTACGCCACTGAAAAATTGTGTTAAGTAGAGAAAGCTGTATCCTTCATCACTAATAATTTAAATTAAGTTTTCCTATGTGTTCCTGCAGGACTCTGGACGGAGGACGGCGGAGACTCACTTAGGATCCTCACAGGAGACCCACACCAGCCATGACGTCATCTACGGACGCTCTCAAGGTGATGATGACGTCATCCAGCAAAGTTCTCCCTCTCACGACGTCAGTCACGAACGTCAACAAATCGATGGCTTCCTCGGAGGCGGCGTCTTTCGCCCCGTCATCTCAGCTCTAACTGGAACTTTGAGGAACTTGTGGTTGAAAAGTTCCTCAGACGACGCCACCAATACTCCCGTAGAACTTGTGGAGTTGGAAGCTTCAAGAGTTGAAGATAAGGCGTCCATCTTACCTGAGAGACCAACAGATAACAGAGATAATGTTGATGACGGCGGAGATAAAATAAACAACATCATTGGAGGAACAGCTGATGGGAGAAGCCGTCAAGATGTAAACAAACTGTACAAAGGTTCACAAAGTTTGACCCAGAGTGAACCACAAGCTTCGAGCACCACCATCCTCACACGTGTTCGTCGACAAGATGGTGGTGATGGTGATAGTGGGGATGATGGTGGTGGTGATGGTGGTGATGGTGATAGTGGGGATGATGGTGGTGGTGATGGTGATTATTATGTTGATGAATATTACGAAAGTGACTTCGAAGGTGATGGTGCTTATGATTACGAAGATTATGATAGTGAAGATGATCCTGGTGATGGTGAAGGTGATAGTGACGTTGTTGGTGGTGAAGATGACTACTATATTGACGATGACTACTATTATGGGGGTGAAGATGATTATAGTGAAGATGGAGTTAATCTGGAAGAAAGTGAAAACACTGGAATCGTCACTGAAGATAATGACGAATATTATGACAACGAAAATGACTCTGATTATGAAACAAGCGGTCAGGATGCTGGTGAAAGTGTGGATGACGTGTATGATTATGAGGGTGATGGTGAATATGACGACACAGGTGATGATGAATATGACGACACAGGTGATGGTGAATATGACGACACAGGTGATGGTGAATATGACGACACAGGTGATGGTGAATATGACGACACAGGTGATGGTGGTGGAACAGATGAATATGATGAAGGTGTGGATGAGGGAACTGAGAATGATTATGGAACAGACGATTACAATTATTATGAAAATGAAGAAGGAACGGAAAATGATTATGGAACAGATTATTATTACGATTATGAAAATGAGGGGAACACTAATGAAAATGATGTCAATGTGAATGATGCTGATGGAGAAAATGACGTGACTGTGGGCGATAATGGTGGTGAAGATGACGAGGTTGTGGACGATGGGAATGAGGGGAATATTGTGAGTGAACAAGACGGTGGGGATGGTGGAACGGGCGATTATGAATATGAATATTATAATGAATACAATGATGTGAACGATGGAGAAGGAGGAGTAGAAGGAGAAGGAGTAGAAGGAGGAATAGAAGGAGAAGGAGAAGGAGTAGAAGGAGGAATAGAAGGAGAAGGAGTAGAAGGAGAAGGAGTAGAAGGAGGAGTAGAAGAAGGAGAAGGAGAAACCAGCCAACAGGATGGTGGAGGTGGGGCAACTAATACTACCGTGGATGGAGATATCGGTAATGGAACAGAGACGATTGATGAAGGTGGAACAGGTACAGATACCGTCACCGGAACAGATACAGGTGCCGGAACAGGGACAGATACAGGGACAGCTACAGGTGGGACGAGCTCTGGTGACGGTACTAACGACCAAAACACACAAGACACAAATTCAGAATCGTCACCCTCAACCATCCCTACTTCCTCCATCACCACCATCACCACCCCCACTCCCTCCATCACCATCACCCCCACTTCCTCCTCCACCACCATCACCAACCCTTCCTCCACCACCATCACCAACCCTTCCTCCTCCACCATCACCACCCCCTCCTCCACCACCATAGTCACTGCTGCTGTGGGTTCCTCCATCACCTCAACGACCAGCACCAATAACGTCGTTACTAGTTTGGATAATAACAACATCAACAGTAAAGGTATTGTGAATGTGCCTCTGACCTTACCCCCAGGCTTCTCCACTCAACCCCCGCCCGCCATCTTGAGTGTGAGCGGTGCAGGACTTCAGGTGGGTGGAGCGCCCCCTGGTGTTGACGTCATCACAGGTTCCAATGGAGAGATCGTTATACAGGTATGATAATCAACTATCTAGATTCACAAAGGTTCGCACATTAAATAGTTCTTGTTACTGGAGGCTTAAAAAGGCTTTTATCTGGATGACTTAAGTTAAATCAACCAAATTATTGTTTTAAGCTTCACTGATTCTGTTTTAACTTTATACTTCCACTAAAAACCAGTTGAAAGGCACGAATCAGGTTTATTAAGTTACCCCCACAATATTCCTGACGTTTTCTGTGAACAATTTATAGCATACTCTTTACCTGTTACATCTAGATAGAATCTGGTTATACTTAATTAACCTTCACCTGCACAGTCACCTTAGTGTGTTTTGTTTCCCGCTTCAACGTCAGGGGCGGATCCAGGAATATCAAAAGAGGGGGGTCCAAGAAGTTGTGGGTGGAGGAACATGCTCGAGCGCACCGAGTCCACCCAGTTGGGCGTTTTGAAATCTAACCAATATCATGGGCATTTTGAGGCCATTCTGAAACCATGCGCACTTAATATTAGGAGATATTCTGAAGTCAATAGTGAATACATTTTACTATACAAAAATGCCTTGTATAGTTAAATGCACCTAACCTAGCCTAACCTTCCTCACTCAACTTAACACCAATATATTCTAAGATCATTAAGTTAGATTAAGATAGTTTAGTTGGTAATATTTTTCAGTGGCGTTAATTTCAGTCACAGCGCCAGTAGAAAACACACTCAATGTTGCTCTTTATGACACAACTTTGTACGATTGTTTAAAAGTTTTCCTGAATCAAAATTACATTCTTTGATTTACATTTCAGGTGCTTATTTGTGTATTTATTTATTTATTTATTTATTTATTTGTGTGCTTGTTCCGTACATCCTAGCGTAAAGGAATGAAATAACATATTCTACAGTACATGAAATTCCTTCGTTGAACCTTCCTCACAAGTTTAAAAAATATATAACCACGGGAATAAACGTGTTCAGGAAAGCTCTAGTGTTCCCGGATTCATCTAACCTGACGATTATATTGAACTTCACCTCACAGTAGTCACGTTTACTTCCCAAACGTTAACTTGGGAGGGGGGGATGCTCTTCCTTCTCCATGTTTGTTACTTTTTATTCTTAACTTGTTCCTGTTACTGACTTTGCTTCTTACTAATTATTTTCTCGAATGACCAGAAATGTTTACTGTTTACTACACTGCCATCATATTGATAGTATAGAACAATTAACTGCATCAATGTGTGGCCGTGTTACCCGGCTCCCCTCCCTCACCACACCTACAGATACAAACACTTATATTTAGCTCGTGCTCCTGAATAAATAGTGATACTGTCCTTCCATTGTTCCATTGTTATTCTTAGCGAGCGAAGTTGAGCAAATTTCTGTCAAGTATTATCATTATTTAACAAACTGCTTAACTGACTCTTATTAACTGGGCAACAACACCATGTAACCCTTTGTCTTCCTCTTATTATTGTTATTTTAATATTATTATTATCCCCAGCATTATACTGTACTGTATTCTAGATATATGAACCGAAATTCGTAAGTCATGTTCTTTCCATGTTAACCACAACACCAGACGCTAATAATTTGTACCCCACTTGACAGATCCCGCCAGGTGTCACTTGGCAGAGCGTGAAGGACACCATCTCGGACCCTGAAGCCAAGAAGATGTGGCGTAGCATCTTCAAAGCGGTGAAGCGTCTGCGTCAACAAGACTCTTCTGACCCCAACGTCTCTCCTGTGAACCCTTTATTACCCTCAGACGTGACCTTGACCTCAACACTAAATGCCATCAGCGGGATGAACATGGAGGAGCTACAGAGTACTCGGAGGCGCCTCAGACAGCTGCTGACACAAGTCCGCATGAGTCAGGAGAACATGATGCTGAAGGTGTCAGGAGGGCTGACGTCTGCCCCAGCAGGAGTGATGTTGGTCACAGCCACAGACGGCACTCAGCTCGTCACTATCCCCAACACACTCAGGTGGAACCACGTCAAGAACTCCTTCGCCAGCCCTCAAGAGCAGAACATGTGGAAGCAATTATTTGAGAGTCGTGATGCCAACAAGAGGCTGATGCAGGGCAACTTGTCAGAGATCAGGCAGAGCATCTGGGCCGTGACTGACAAGATCTCACAAACATCACTGGCAGAGAGAGGACTCGAGTCAGGGAGTAAAGGAAGCAACAAGAGAAGAAGGAACAATAACAGAAGGGTTACATCAGGTGGTAATAAGAAGAGAAGAAAAAATAAGACAAAAAAGAATACAAATAAGACTAAGAAAAGAAGGAAGAATAAGAAGAAGAAAAAGAATAACAAGCGGCAGAAGAATAAGAAGGTAAAGAAGCGAAAGATATTATTCCCTAAAAAGAACAAGAATGGGAAGAAAAAGAAAACCCCAAATAACGCGAGAAACAAGAAAAACAAACAATCTCAGAAACGTAAGAACAAACGGAACAAACGAAGAAGGAAAAAGAAGAAATTGAATAAATCCAAGAAGAATAAAAGAAGAAATAGAGGAAACAACAATAAAGATAAAGACAGAAACTCCAATAATCGTCATGTGTTGTTTCCCAAAGAGACGAAGAATGGGAATAAGATAAAGAACGATAACTTAGCAACTACAGATAAACGTATGAATCAGAAGAATATATTGATAAATAATAAGAAAGATAAAAACAAAGAGAATAAAGAAGCTAACAAGAACATAAAGAAGATTGAAAAGATTAAGAAGAAGGAAAATGGAAAGAGCATAATAATTGGAAATAAGAACAAGAATAACAAGAACAAAATAAACAATAATAATAAGAACAAAAAAAAATTTAACATAACAAAAATGAAGAACAAAGGAGAACCTGAGATGATAAACACCAAAAAACAAATGACTAAGAAGATAAAGAAGGATACTAAACAGACGAAGAAAGATGGGAATAAGAAAACAATGAATAACACAAACCAAATGAAAAATATACAGCAAAGGAAACTATCAGACAAAAGAGAGAAAAGGAAATTGAAGAGAAAATCCCAAAAACAAAAGAAGAAGAAGAAGAAGAAGAAGAAGCGAAAGATGAAGAAGAAGAAGAAGAAGAGGAGGAAGGAGAAGAATATGTTAAAGAAAATGAAGAATAAGAAAAATGGCAATAAACGTAAGAATAAAAACAAGAAAAATGAGTTCAAGAATATAAAGAAAAACAATAAAACACAAAAACAAAATAAAATAATGTTTGATGCCTCGAAATTCACCAAAAATAAACAAAACAAGAGAAAAAATAGCAGAGTAAACAAGAAGATAAAGAAAAAAGTGAAAAAACAAAAAACGAACAGTTTATCGTCACTTGATGGCGCTGGAAGTTTGTTAATATCAACCAAAGACCCCAATAAAGACCAAATTAACTGGTTAACATTGAAAACATCAACCAAAGACCCCAATAAAGACCAAATTAACTGGTTAACATCTGGTCTTCCTAACACAAGTCCCATTAACTGGATAACTATGAATGCAAGTCCAAGGAAAGAACAAAATAACTTAAGAATAAATAACAATAGAAAAAAGAACAGGAATAAACAGACGAACAAGACTATTAAGAATAACAATAGAAATAATAAGTGGAATAAAAACAATAGCAATAAAGTTTGGAATAATAAGAAACCAAATAAGAAGAATGGAAAGAAAAATAAGAACAGAAGGAATAAGAAAAATAAGAATAATAACAATTCTCTCTGGTAGCAATGAAACAAATTAACTAAATAAATGAAGAATAAACTAGAAACAAAAACACATAGCAAAAAAATATTATCAATTTTAATTAAACATAACTTACAAAATATTAACATTAAATTAATATAAGTTGAAAAATATAATACCAAAATGTAAACCTGAATTAATTGTATACTTGTATGCAGTGGAGGCTCGTGAAAAATAAAATGGAGGGACTGCAAGCCTCACACAACAGTAGGATACACAAATTTGACCTACCTCAGGTATGAGTTGTAGTTGATGTCCACGAATTCCCAGGGCATGGTAGTAGTGTTGGTGGTGATGGACCAGTATTAATTGAAAATAAAGTCGGCGTGTCTGCTCTTTGATGTAGCAAAATTGTTTATTACTATTTCATTAAAATCCTTTATTTCTGTTATCATTTTATTTTCAATGGATATCACTGCTAAAGCAGACAGTCTGTCATTCACCATGGTACTGCGCAAAAAAGTTTTAATTCTCTTCAAAGTTGAAAAGCACCTTTCTGCTTCTGCCGTTGTCATTGGAGTTGTTATTAAAATTTTCAGCAACTTGACAGTGTCTGAAAATGTTGACTGTAGATTATTGTCATTCATCATCTCCAACAAGTCTATGAGACTTTCTGATTTACACAAATCTTCTCTTGTGTACAGTACAGTAAGTTCAGTTCTCAATTTGTCTTTTTCAAGCATGGGATATGCTGCAACTGCTTGTTCAAGTTCATTACTAGGGAAATTTTTGGTATACACTGGAAAATTATTCACTAAAAGTAACTTGCTTGCTTCCAAATGATTAGTAAAGCTGAATCTCTCTCTGCACTGCAGCAAAATTACGTCACAGACCTCCTTTGCAGCAGGTCTTCCTCTTGCTTTGATTTCAGTCTTTTCATTTAATGTCAGCTGGGAAAAGTTGATGTTTTGCAAATACTTCACTCGATTTTCCATCGTCAAAGGGTAATTAAAGAAAGCACGATTTAACCACACCGTCCACACGTTGTACGAGACTGAGCTGCTTCAGGTGTGGCGGCGGCGGCGATAACAGACATGAATCGTACAGCATTGACAGCAACTATGAAAGTAACTTAAATTTTGGTCTGATTTTAATGAAAATTCACTTAGCAACGTATTGAAAATAATTAAATAACATATAAAATGATATATTTGTTGGTAGTGTATTATTCAGCTGTCTCTCTAAAGGAATCATACGCCTGGCAGTGAGTGTCTGGGGGGACTGCAGCCCTATGCACGAGCCGCCACTGTGTGTATGATAATGTTAGTGAATAAAAATAAATCTATCTATCTATCTATCTCTCTATCTATCTATCTATCTATCTATCTATCTATCAGGTGTGTTATAGACTCTACCAGGTGTGTTCTTAAATAAAATAATATAACAACTAGAACAACCAGATCATAACGGCTCAATAACATATCATAAGGAGTTATATTAAGTCCACGTCATCTTAGTCTGCCCAGTGGTGGTCCAGATACTACACCTAACCTAACCTAATCTAACCTAACCTAACCTAACCTAATCTAACCTAACCTAACCTAACCTTTGGTGAATAATTTTTACTTGTGGGAAATACAGGTGTGTTTGTTTACCTTCGTTGGCGCCAAATTTAGTATTGTAGCAGCTCTCGTCATGGATATTTTTTCCTCCAAAGTCTCCCGGGATTTCTTAGTTTATTTGAGTGGGGAGGAGAAAATTTGGCAAAATAAAAGTACTTGTGGGAAGCTTGTTACATTTAAGAAACAAGCATGGTTACGAATTGCAATATGTTTAAATGCTGAGGGATAGAACAGAAGAACAGTTGAAGAAGATTTGGGAACGCATTAAAATAAAGTAAGTAAAAAAAACTATATATATATTTTGTAGCTTAGTAGGTTTGATTAAAGAGGGTGCATACGACTATAATCTCTGAGACAACTAACTTAATTCAGTTATATGGGAGGTAGAGACTTCTAATTTGGCTTAAGGCACATTTTCATTAAATAATCAAACTCCAGCTTCCAGTGAACTTGTTTTATTATGCACCTAATTCACCCAAATGGAAGTTTACCAAAACGAAATAATGTAATTGGTGATGAAAAATTAGAGCCTGTAGTATTTTACATATTATATCATAATCCACTGTATGAAAGGTGTTTTAGTATGTAATATTATACCATCCTTGTGAAAATGCCCTCCCAGTGAAATTTGCCTCTACCCATTTTGATATTTTTAGGCATAAACCTCCCCTGTTCATATTTTCCAGATAGAAACTCACTTATAAAACTGCTAAAATGTTGCATTAAATAACTTAAATGGACTTAATTTATTAATATATGCAACATAAAGTTTTGAGATGATTTTCTCCCAGTAAAATTTGCCTATTATCCATTGGAATATTTCTAGGCAAGAACGTCACTAGTTTATATTTTCCTGACAGAAACTCACTTATAAAACTGCTAAAAAGTTTAATAAATTACCGTAAATGTGCTTACCAGATTAATACTAGCGTTAGTAAGATGGGATGACTCCAGCACTGTCATAATATGGGCCGTAAAACCAATAATATAAAAAAAAATACATTTGTAAAATAACCAATACGTGTTTCTTTGTACGTTAATCATATTGACAATAAATATTCAATAAAACTAACAAAATAGTTATGAAGAGGGTGACGAAAAGCAGCTCATAGCCACCTCTTCAAAGTTAGGTGCAATTAGTTAGTATTAATGCCACCACACTCTTTCATGAGCTGCACTTAAAGGTTCTTCGCCTTTAAAAATACGGCTTTCGACATGAAGATATTCTTGAAGGGAAGATGTTGTTTAATAATATGGCCGTAAGACTGCTTTTATTTTTCATAGTGTGTGTGTGTGTGTGTGTGTGTGTGAACTCATTATACAGAAGATGATGTCAAAGGATGTCATGTAAATTTATCTTTACATGTTGACAACTGACTCACAACTGACATACAACTAACCCACCACTGACTCACAAACGACTCACAACTGACTCAAGATAATGACACAATGAGGACTTTTGCTTATTTATTACTGAATAGACATTATAAATAATTATCATATAACTTGAACAGTGAAAATTAACTTATAAAATGTTGACAGACAGACAGACAGACAGACAGACAGACAGACATACAGATAGATAGTTAGGAGACCATCAGCCTTAGAGAAGAGAATAAAATAATTAATGAAAAAGATAGATAGATAGATAGATAGATAGATAGATAGAGCCTGATAGATAGATAGATGAGACACCAAGTACTGATGATATTATAATGTAACTCGCATTATATAAATAAACTGTAAGCTATATGAACTAACTTCTATATCAACTACAACAAAATGTTATATTAGTCTTCTTGTATGTGTTAATTTTCATACATTAAACAACATTAAAATACAACTTAGAGATAAATTAAAAATACAATAAGATACATTTATTTTTTTATTATTCAAATTTCAGATAAAACTCATCAATAAATTTTTAATATACAGTAGTGACACCCCCATATACCGGATTTTGATTTAATGGACTAATCTCTCTCATAAAGTCCGTTAAATAGAGGTTTCATGTTTTACATAACGGACTAATCTCTCTCATAAAGTCCGTTAAATAGAGGTTTCATGTATTATATAACGGACTAATCTCTCATAAAGTCCGTTAAATAGAGGTTTCATGTATTATATAACAGACTAATCTCTCATAAAGTCCGTTAAATAGAGGTTTCATGTATTATATAACGGACTAATCTCTCATAAAGTCCGTTAAAAGGAAGTGTCGTGTATAATGAACTAATCTCTCACGTGTAGTCCGTTAAATAAAGTTTTCACTACATCTAAAATATAAAGTTTCTTAACACAATATAAAGTTTATAAGTATTAAACTACTGTCACACAGGTAAGATTTTTATTAGTAAACTTTTTAAAAACTTTCTGTGAATGACACTTAACACACGTGAATTATTCTTATCAGTAAAACAATAAAAATTAAGATAATAAAAGTTGATTTATTTTCTTTTTTCAACTTTTATTTATTCATTTTATTTTGTCTTTAATTGTTTATCGTTAAGTTGTTATGTTTTATTTTTCTTCGTCTGGGAAAAATAACATCTTTCTACCGTTAAGTTGTTCTAAATATTTACTTTATGTTCATACGACAAATTGTACCAAGTGAAGATTCTTGTACAATCCCATTTTTTCTATTTTACTCTTAAATAAAATCACTCTTTTATTTCACATATTTTAATTAATTTTTTCCTTCGTTTTATTCAACGTCTCTTTGATTAATCCTTGTAAATAATTCTATTCATCTTTCTTTAAAACCAAAATAAATTATTCTTATTATTGTTATTATCATTCTTATTATTTTTATTATTTTTCTTAGCGTTATTTACATTCTTATTTCCTTTATTCTTGTTCTTGTTCTTCTTTGCATTGTTATTCTGTTGAGCCGTCTGACTTGGCACAGTGGCACTCGTAGACAACCAGTTAATTTGACCCTTATCTTGTTTGCTTGTGTTTGCCCCGACGGTAAACGCACCATCATGCAAACCCAAGTTCTTCTTCTTTTTATCTTTCATCCTCATTTCTTTCTTCTTCTTCTTCTTCTTCATCTTCTTCAATTCTTTCTTCTTCTTCTTCCTCTTTACCTTCTTCTTCCTCTTCTCTTTCTTCCTCATCTTCTTCATCTTCTTCATTTCTTTCTTATTAATTTTCTTCTTCTTCCCCTTCATCTTCATTTTTTTCTTCTTTGTCAATTTCTTCTTTTCCTCCTTATTGCTTTCGTTTACATCGATGCTTTGTTTATCACTTTTCTTGCTTGCCTTATTCAGTGCCACCATCTTCTTATTTTCTTTCTTTTCATCTTTATTCATCTTTTTCATTATCCTCGGATTCTTCTTCCTTATTTTCTTAAATGGTTCAAGAACTTTTTTCAATTCTTTCGTCTTTCGCTTTTGGGGATTCTCTCTATTCTCTTGTTTATTGAAGTTTTTGTTTTGATTCATCTCCTTCGATAGGTTTTTGTTTCTCTCTTTCACCAGGTTCTCATTTTCTTTCGTTTTCTTCTCCTTTTTCTTATTGTTTTTTTCCTTGTTTCCAGTTTGGTTCTTGATGTTCTTCCTCTTCCTCTTCTTCTTTTTCTTCTCACTGTTCTTCTGACGTTTATTCTTCTTTCTTCTGTTTATCTTCACTTTGCCATTCACCGTTTTCTTCAGTTTCTTCCTCATCTTCTTCTTCTTGTTAGACTTTAGTACTTTCTTCATCAATTTGTTTATCTTCTTCTTCAGTTTTTCTTGTTCATTCATTTTATTTATGTCACTTTCTCTCTTTGTCTTCAGGATATTATTGGAGTTGTTGTTGTTGTTGACTTCGGTTTTATTCGTCTCGGGAAACACCATCATTCTGTCATTCTGTCTTCTCTTGTTATTCTTATTCTTGTCTTTCTTCTTATTCTTATTCTTGTCTTTCTTCTTATTCTTCCTTCTACGACGTTTAGCTTTCTGTTTCTTACGTTTCCTTGATTTGTTATTCCTTGTTGTGGTTAAATTGTTTGATTTCTTCTTATTCTTTCTATTCCTGTTTTTGTTAGGGTATAATAATATGTTTCTTCCGTTGTTCTTCTTTCTTCTCTTCTTATTACCACCTGATGTAACCCTTCTGTTATTGTTCCTTCTTCTCTTGTTGTTTCCTTTACTCCCTGACTCGAGTCCTCTCTCTGCCAGTGATGTTTGTGAGATCTTGTCAGTCACGGCCCAGATGCTCTGCCTGATCTCTGACAAGTTGCCCTGCATCAGCCTCTTGTTGGCATCACGACTCTCAAATAATTGCTTCCACATGTTCTGCTCTTGAGGGCTGGCGAAGGAGTTCTTGACGTGGTTCCACCTGAGTGTGTTGGGGATAGTGACGAGCTGAGTGCCGTCTGTGGCCGTGACCAACATCACTCCTGCTGGGGCAGACGTCAGCCCTCCTGACACCTTCAACCTCATGTTCTCCTGACTCATGCGGACTTGTGTCAGCAGCTGTCTGAGGCGCCTCCGAGTACTCTGTAGGTCATTGATGGGCATCCTACTTATGGCGTCTCGTGTCGAGGTCAAGGTCACGGCTGAGGGCAGTGCCAAGTCTACAGCAATGACACTCGGGCTCGGGGATAGCACCTGAGTCCTCAACATCTCCTCCTGACGAAGGTTCCTGACGGAGAGGAAGATTTTACGCCACTTCTTCCTGGCGGCCCTGTCCACGATAGAGTCCTTCACATCCACCCACCTGAGGCCTGGCGGGATCTGTAGGAGGAACGGTACAGTGTGTTGTTAGTGGCTGATGGCACCTGTCCCCATACCTGTGTGCTTACCTGTCCTTATACATGCGTGCTTATCTATCTATCTATCTACCTGTGCACTTATCTATCTATCTACCTGTGTACTTATCTATCTATCTACCTGTGCACTTATTTATCTATCTACCTGTATACTTATCTATCTATCTACCTGTGCACTTATTTATCTATCTACCTGTGTAATTATCTATCTATCCCTTATCTACAGGGCATATATTGTATCTATCTACAAATATCTGTTCATTGTATATCTATGTATCTATCTATCTATCTATCTATCTATCTATCTATCTATCTATCTATCTATCTATCTATCTATCTATCTATCTATCCCCAACAGTTATCTAAACACAACTACTCATGTAACTAAAACAAATTTATTTCACAGTTGTAATAAAAAATCGGAAAAATACAACCACAACCACTCCTGCCCAACCTAGGTCACGGTGAGTGGGCGTGAGTGGGGGTGGGGGTGAGTGGGTGGGGGCGTGTGTGGGAGGGCGAGTGGGGGGGTATGTGGGTGTGTGTGGGGGTGAGTGGGGTGAGTGTGGGCGTGGTGGGTGGGGGCGTGTGTGGGAGGCGTGTGTGTGTGGGGGCGAGTGGCGTGTGTGGGGACGTGAGTGTGGGGAGGTGTTAGCGGTGTTTCCGTCAGCACTTGGGGTGACCTGAACGCCTTGTGGCACTTGACCTGTGGTAAGTACAGTGCCTAATCCATTAACGTTGATTCCTGTAGAAGGCGGTGCAGGTGTTGTGTATCCTGAAGGGAGAATAATTGGTACGTAGACCACACCATTACCATTAACTTGACTATTTACTTCAACCTCATTATTAGAGTTATTATTAGGATTTACAACCTCGTTATAAGGACTGCCATAATTAACTTCATTATTCTCATTGTTATTGTCATTATCTGCTATATTGTCATAGTTAGTGTCATTCCCTGTTATTCCTTCATTTTTCTCTGTTGTTATTTCGTCTCCTTGGTCATTTTCCTCGCCTCCTCCTCCTCCTCCTCCTCCTCCTTCTTCTTGTTCGCTTGTTTCTAATTCTTCTTCTTCATCACCATTTTCATTATCATCTTCGGTGGTGTCTGTGTCATCATAATCATCATAATAATATTCGTAGTCATAAACGTAATAATCATCATCATCATCATTATTTTCATTGTTGCTAACTTCATTATTTTCATTGTTGCTGACTTCATCATTATTATCATTATTGTTACTTCCTTCATTATCTTCAGTTTCATTGATTTCATTACCGCTCGTTATATATTCATCATCATTATCATCATCATCACTATCACCATTATCATCCTCGTCATCATAATAATAATATTCATCATCATATTCATAATATTCATCATCATAATCATAATATTCATCATCATATTCATAATATTCATCATCATCATCATCAACATTATCATTTACATCTCCACTGCCTTCATTTTCATCATTATTTTCATTCCCTCCTTCACTTTCCTTGTCTATTATGCTATCTCCTCCTTCATCACCTTCGTTATTACTCGAGCTGTTACTTGCACCTTCAGCATAATCCACGTCATATTCACCATCATTGTCACCATCATCGTTATCTTCATCATCATCATCATCATCATAGTTGTAATAATCGTCATACTCATCATAGTTATTGCTAATGTCACTTTCACCATCGATAGAGTCATCTTCACCACCAACAACGTCACTATCACCTTCACCATCACCAGGATCATCTTCACTATCATAATCTTCGTAATCATAAGCACCATCACCTTCGAAGTCACTTTCGTAATATTCATCAACATAATAATCACCATCACCACCACCATCATCCCCACTATCACCATCACCACCATCGCCACCACCATCATCCCCACTATCACCATCACCACCATCTTGTCGACGAACACGTGTGAGGATGGTGGTGCTCGAAGCTTGTGGTTCACTCTGGGTCAAACTTTGTGAACCTTTGTACAGTTTGTTTACATCTTGACGGCTTCTCCCATCAGCTGCTCCTCCAATGATGTTGTTTATTTTATCTCCGCCGTCATCAACATTATCTCTGTTATCTGTTGGTCTCTCAGGTAAGATGGACGCCTTATCTTCAACTCTTGAAGCTTCCAACTCCACAAGTTCTACGGGAGTATTGGTGGCGTCGTCTGAGGAACTTTTCAACCACAAGTTCCTCAAAGTTCCAGTTAGAGCTGAGATGACGGGGCGAAAGACGCCGCCTCCGAGGAAGCCATCGATTTGTTGACGTTCGTGACTGACGTCGTGAGAGGGAGAACTTTGCTGGATGACGTCATCATCACCTTGAGAGCGTCCGTAGATGACGTCATGGCTGGTGTGGGTCTCCTGTGAGGATCCTAAGTGAGTCTCCGCCGTCCTCTGTCCAGAGTCCTGCAGGAACACATAGGAAAACGTAATTTAAATTATTAGTGATGAAGGATACAGTTTAATATACTTAATTAGTGACATTTGAATGACACTGTTTACATATCCTGGTAAAACACGAACATACCTAACACCAGGCAGGTACAGAGCGCCAAGACCTTTAACAACAGAACTATCGTATGTATTTAAGTCAAGGATCTGAACAAGTTTACACGTGTGTGGATATTTCTACGTACTGTTTTATCACTTTCCTAACACATACTTATCATCCATCACTATTAATTCCTACTTGTATTACGGTCTCTCTCTCTTCCATTTTCGTTCCACAAAACACAATAAAAAAATAAAATAGAACTTAAAAAAATAATTAAATAAATAAAAAAACAAACATTCTCCCGTCAACACACCACCAACCTTGTTCCAGAATCCTTTCCATTAATTACAATAAACACAAAACGACCCACGACCTACATAATGACATAACAAAGACTTTAATCACCACTACAACAACTCTTCTCATTATTCAGTTACATTCACTTGTGTTTGTACGTTTAATAATGCAGTCACACGCATAAAAAAGCGCCATTGTTCTCGAGTCGGTAACCCTAATATTGCTTCCGCTGGGTGAGGGAGGGGTAAGGGGGAGGGAGGAGGGAGGGAGGGAACTGGCTGAGGGGAAGTAAGGGGAAGATGTGGCTTGATGATGTGAGTGAGGATAGAATGAGTAATGAGGAGAATTAAAACACACACACACAGAGCCGGACACAGTCACACACACACACAGAGGCAGACTGATCACACACACACAGCCGGTTTGATCACACACACAAACCAGACACAGTGCACACACACACACACATGGACACAGTCACAGGCCGGACTGATCACACACACATTGATCACACACACACAGCCGGACACAGTTACACACACACACACACAGCCAGACACAGTCACTGTGGACACGGTCACACACACACACAGCCGGACACAGTTACACACACACACACACACAGCCGGACACAGTCACACACACACACACACAGCCGGACACAGTCACACACACACACACAGCCGGACACAGTCACACACACACACACACAGCCGGACACAGTCACACACACACACAGAGCCGGACACAGTCACACACACAGAGCCAGCGAACACTAGACACACACACACACACACACACAGACAGACCGTCACACACGCACACAGACCTGATCACACACACACACACACACACACAGTCGGACACAATACACACACACACACACAGAGCCGGACACACACACACACACACACATGGACACAGTCACACACACACACACACACACACACACACACACACACAGAGCCGGACACACACACACACACACAGCCGGACACAGTCACACACACAGAGCCGGACACAGTCACACACACAGAACCGGACACAGTCACACACACACACACACAGAACCGGACACAGTCACACACACACACACAAGAGCCGGACACACACACACACACAGAGCCGGACACAGTCACACAATAGTGCCAACATCCTGGATGGTATAGCGCCAAGAGTAGTGCCACACAATGGGACTGATATCTGTATGTATGTATGTGTGTGTATGCTCATGGTGTATGGCGGAAGTTGATATACAAACCCATCACTAAGGCTTATTGTTCCCCGCCACCCTGCAGTTGGTGGAGAGTACGTGTCCGTTTGTCTGTCAGTACATCCGGGACTTGTGCGCATACATACCACAAGTTGATAATAACAAATAAGTTTTTTTACCACATTTCGAATCCCTTGAAGATTAATGTTAGATTAGATTTGGTTAGGTTAGGTTAGGTTACGCTAGGTTAGGTTAGGTTAGATTAGGTAGATATACAGGGTATTGTGTCTACAAAACACTGACCTCAACATGGCGGCCATGACCTGATGATCCACTTGTGTGGAGGGCAGGTGAGGGACCCTGTGTGGAGGGCAGGTGAGGGACCCCTGTGTGGAGGGCAGGTGAGGGGACCCCTGTGTGGAGGGCAGGTGAGGGGCCCCCTGTGTGGAGGGCAGTGAGGGCCCCTGTGTGGAGGGGCAGGTGAGGGGCCTGTGTGGAGGGCAGGTGAGGGGCCCCTGTGTGGAGGGGTGAGGGACCCCTGTGGAGGGCAGGAGGGCCCCTGTGTGGAGGGCAGGTAGGGGCCCCTGCGTGGAGGGCAGGTGAAGGGGCCCCCTGTGTGGAGGGCAGGTGGGGCCTCCCATGTGAGGGGGCTGGAATAGGAGTGAGGCAGGAGGGAGCACCACACAACAGGCAGGACCGCCACCACCAGGAAGGATCTGTCGGACACAACACTTGTTACTGATGACAGAGAGAGAGATACTGTTACCTGGTATTAAGAGATAATGACCACATTGTGACCAACACTATACATCTCAGGGCACAAGAGCAACGTATTATTATTATTATTATAGGTTTGGTTAAGTTAATTTAGTTAGGTTAATACTTATGACATTGTACTTAAGTCCATAATTAATTCTATGTAAACATCAGATTAAACTCTCGACCAAAGTGAGAAAAATAAATTAAGGTTATGAGTATTAGGCAGGTATCCTTAACACCTGACAATACCTGAGTGTTATGATCTTCAACACCTGTACTGAAACAACTACTGTATAACTTGTCACGCCATCAAGAACACAACTAAAGTGAACTTATAACACTTTACCTTTTTACTTACAACATGAGTGACGTTCTTGATGCTGTTTTCTTAACACTTTATCTCTTGTGGCATTTTCTTGTTTATCTGCGTCATTCCTTGTTTATCTGTGTCACTCCTTGTTTATATGCGTCATTCCTTGTTTATCTGCGTCATTCCTTGTTTATCTGCGTTATTCCTTGTTTATCTGTGTCACTCCTTGTTTATCTGCGTCACGTAATCCTTCATTTTAGTTAGATCTGGCCAGTGCTTGTAGATTAGGTCTGGCCAGTGCTTGTAGATTAATCTGGCCAGTGCTTGTAGATTAGGTCTGGCCAGTGCTTGTAGATTAAGCTAGACAATATATTTCATTAGGTCTGGCCAGTACTTGTAGATTAGGTCTGGCCAGTGCTTGTAGATTAGCCTAGACAATACTATTTCATTAGGTCTGGCCATACTTGTAGATTAGGTCTAGCCAATACTTGTAGATTAGGTCTGGCTAGTGCTTGTAGATTAGGTCTGGGAAAATGGTCTAGAAAGTCTTATTATCTAGTCTTCTGCTTTATATATTAATTTTTGGTCTGAGGTCTTACAATCCAATATTAAAACTGGCTTAAGACTTATCCACGTAATATTAAAACTGGCTTAAGACTTATCCGTATTAAAACTGGCAAGACTTATCCACAATATTAAAACTGGCTTAAGACTTATCCACGTAATATTAAACTGGCAAGACTTATCCGTAATAATATTAAACTGGCAAGACTTATCCACGTAATATTAAAACTGGCTTAAGACTTATCTATATTAAAACTGGTCTCAACTTAATCCACCAACCACCACAAAAAAATGGTCGATTTCTCAGTAATATCCTCGAAGGTCACAATAAACTTAACTAAACCAACTTCATTACACGACTTAGGTTGTGTTGAAGTGTGCAGCGGCGGGCAACTGGTATATACGTCACCCATACCACCACACCGTAAACTGAGGCAAGGTGACGGGGTGACAAGGCTTTTATAACATACTCGTACCTCTATTTTGTGTACATCCGTCAACTGGTGCTTCGTGACGTGAGTGTTGAGGACATTATGATGTAAATTTAACCTAGGTGAGGGTCACTCGCTGTGTGAATATCCAGTCTTGGTTAACGTGGGTTGATGATGATGGTGCTGGTGGTAATGTGTGCCAAAAGGAATGTGGGACGCGACATATGATTCATTTATCTCTCTGTCTCTCTCTCTACCCCACCCCTTTCTCTCTCTCTCTCTCTCTCACCCCATTCTCTCTCTCAATGACCTCAAATTTGACGTAGGATGGAGGCAGGTTTGAGTCTTTCTTCTCTAGAGTGCCATGTTTGTTTCTACTCAATCGTCTCTCATTGGTTAGTGAGGTAACCAATGAAACTCCGTCGTCCCGTCAATGGATACCTGGTGTGTAATAATAATAATTAATGGTTTATTGAAAGAGCTTGGCAGCCAGAAGGCTGAAAATATACAGTGACATATTTGGGGAATGGGTTTCGAATTACAAATAATATGCATGTAACATAAGTGATACAAATAAGATATATAATAACTAGATGGGGAAAAGCTCAAACTACAGTGCATTTCAACATAGTGACAGTGCAAGAAGTAGTATTTACTGGGAGTGAATACACTAGTTTATTACAAGTTATTGATAATTTTTACAATGGTTGGGACTGGGCTGTTCTTATAGCGATCAGTTCGTGCACGTATGGGCTGGATGCGGTTGTGGTGTCGAACAGCAATTCTCGGGCTTGGGATCTCAAGGTGGTAGTGAGCCGGTGTCGAGGATGGTGCCAAAGTTTCTTACCAAATTTGCAGATGAGGTCGTGGTGATGGTCAGTGAGAGTCGAAAGGGTCAGTGTGTTGAGCGCTAGCGATATATGGAGTAGGAAGGGAAGAGAATAATCTTACATGCCCTCTTTTTACTTTTCTAGAGTGTTTACGTTGTGTGGCATTTGGGGAGAAGACGGGTAGGGGAGGCATGGGTGAACAGGAAGTATGAATGTTGTGCTGTACTGAAGGAGCTCGGGTGCAGGAACTCCGAGGGACTTGAGTCAGCGGAGAGGTGGAGACAGAAACTGGAAGTTTGACAATTTCACTGACGTGTGGTTTCAATTTGGTTGTTGTCTATCAGGTGACGCCGAGGAGCTTCGTGGAATCTACAACCTGGAGTGTGTTCGGACCTAAAGTAATGGAAGGAGGTGGGACAATGTCGGAGGAGAGGTTGATGTGCATAACCATGGTCTTGGTATGGTTGATGGTGACATGGTTGTTGGTGGCCCAGTTTTGGAGACTATTCAATAAATCCTGAAGGGCGGTATAGTCGGGAGCAGAATTGTTGACGCTGATCCCAATGGTGGAGTCGTCGACATATTTCCAGCGAGCAGGGGTTTCTCTTAGGGCATCATTGATGAGCATAAGGAAGCAGAGTGGTCCCATCTTGGTGCCTTGGGGGACGCCACAGGTGAGTGACTGAAAGGTGGAGACAGCCCCTCGGTCACTGAGGAAGTCTGTAAGCCATGGTATAAGACTTCCCCGAAGCCCGAGGTCAATAGCTTTGTTGATGATTATATTGTGGTCGACTAGGTCGAATGCTTTAGTGAAATCAATGAAGGCGACAGCTACAGACGTTTTTCGTTTCTCGAGATGGCGGTATATGTAATCGAGAAAGCTGACAAGACAGTGAGTGGTGGAGGAAGTTTTCATATTGCCAAATTGCTGTGTGTATGTGTGTGTGTGTAATAACAGGAGACCAGTTCAGGAGCAGTTTCTGTAGGCTTCCAAATACAAGAGGTGTAGGAACATGTAGAGTACAGGTTGAAACAGAGATAGAGATACAAATACGTTTACAGAACAGGAGCGTCACCGGAAAATTCTCACTGGGAGGACATTCGATTTCACTAAGGGGACAAGAGGGGCAGGGGGAGAGGGCAACATTCTAATAGGCTAACACAACACTTATTGTTGTCATCAGACTCAAACAAGTGAACATCGTAATTCATCCTATAACAACAAAAACCAATATATGAATCCTATAACCATGACGTCTAATGGTAGACCCTGCTGCTCTATGGCATCACAAAAATTGTGACCAAGTCCCAGGTTGCTGATCTAACGTTCTGCCTCATTTACACACAATTGCAGGTCTCAATTGTTTCTCTTACTTTGACAACACAACATACATACCGTATATCATTTCACACTTTTGATCTTTTTTTAATTTTTGTATTTCTTTATGGTTCTGTATTAATATTATTATTATTATTATTATTATTATTATTATTATTATTATTATTATTATTATTATTATTATTATTATTATTATTATTATTATTATTATTATTATTATTATTATTATTATTGTTATTATTAGTATATTTTCGCCACCCCCCCAGGCCCCGATGTGGGTCAGTGACCTGTGCCCGGGTGGACTAATCCCTGTTAAAATATATATATATATATATATATATATATATATATATATATATATATATATATATATATATATATATATATATATATATATATATATATATATATATATATATATATAGATAGATAGATAGATAGATAGATAGATAGAAATGCAGGTACAGGTACGGGTAATATGAGCACGGAGGAACGCACGTATCAGGGAGAGAGGACATTAGTAAACCTGGAACTGGTATAAAGTGTCAGGGCAGAGTGTGAACCTCCCTCCCTCCCTGACGCAGCTATGACGTCATAAGCTCCGGGGAAGTGTGAGAGGTGATGGTTGTGGTGGTCGACGCTTACACACACACACACATAAAAAACATACACATATACACAAAAGAACTATTACACACGTATATACACATACACGCACAAAAACAAATTATTACACACGTACGTACACAGACAAAAACACAGACATGCATACACTGACACACACACACACACACACAGTTATCCAGATGATACTAAATGTTACATAATACTTCCTTGAGATAAACTTACAGTATATATCAGATGCCACTAAGAGAGCTCAGGCTCCCACTTGGCTCAGTCCTGTTGTTGTTGATGTTGTTTACTCTGTATCTGTATTTGTTTGGCTAAATTAATTGTTTCCACTTCAACAACAAACATGAACACACGTACACTCACACACACATACATTTAACCTGATAAAGGTTAAATTACGGTAAATTAGGTTAGGCTCTTTTAGGTTAGGTTAGATTATGTTAAGTTAGGTTAAATTAGGTTAAGTTTGGTTAGGTTAAGTTAGTTTAGTTTATATTAGGTTAGGTTAGGTTAGGTTAGGTTAGTTTAGTTTATATTAGGTTAGGTTAGGTTAGGTAAGTCAATCAGGCAAAATAATCTGGGGTTCCAAATCTTCAGGTGATCCCAAATTCACCTCTTAACAGGATCCAATGCTCCAATAGCTCCATTAATAAGAGTATTTACTGTGTTTAAGGATAACGAAACACTTACTAACACTTGATATCTTTATTTTTTCCAAGAATATCGCAGAGATAATTGTCCTACACAATAAATAGATTCTTTTAAACTCAACACAATTTGTTTTTGTTAACACACACACACACACACTCGTCTTGAACATTGGCTCAAGTCCTTCCACCAATTTCCAAAACAAAGGAACAATGCATTAAACACAGGAATTCCTTTGTATTTCCTAATAGTAATTTTTGGTGTGAGATGTATATAAGAAATATTATTTTTTTTACCTTTAAATAAACTTTCCTGGGACCAGAATCTCACCAGTTCGTAATGTAAATATTTCCTCGATCTTGTGTTAGGTGAATGTGTCTAGTTGAGTGAGTCTTATTGTAATGTTATTATTAATTTTGTTATATTATTTAATTTTATTTATTTTAAGTCAACTGGGATACATTTCTACACCTTCAGTTATAAGAAATATTTACAATACAAATCTCTGGGACACTGGACACAAACTTATACCCAAAATATTATTGGAACACATAGTTCTTTTCAGATAATTTCGAGGGTTTTATTGGCTTCCTGATTGGTCTTTGGCATCGTGTTATAATTATTGACTCAGCATGAAGAAAAGGAAGTAACATACACATCAACATGGACATTGTCTGCTGGGAAGTTTACATCATACAGATGGGAAATCTTTTCACAAGAAGTTGACTGTCAACACCGATAATAAGGCCTGGTCAACAACAGACCTCTGTATTCTGAATTATCAGGGATATATAATACACATATTCCTACAGACACTGAAACATTGTCCATTATTACACTCATCTAAAGGAGAGAAATATTTCAGGTCGTCAACCAACGTAGTCGTGGACTGTATCTATGTATGTATATAGTAGTTGTTTACACTTGTGGAACAGGTCACACCATCAACACCAGAACGTCAAAAAACTATTGTCCATCATTTCTCTTCCCTTTATCCCGATTACCGATTGTTATTATGTTTACTTTCAGTGACGAAGAGAAAAGGAGAAAAACAATTGTGTACTCGGTGGGTCGCCGGGACAAACCTTTCTCATCACACCAAAACCTATTATCCTTCAGTTCTCTTACCAACAACTACTTCTGCTAGTTTCATCTTCCCTTTATCCCAGTCACCAATTATTAACCTGTTTTCATTTTAATTTATTACCTTCAGTGGTAAAGAGAGGATGAAAAACAAAAAAACATTCCTATACTTCACACGATCAAACTCTTCGCTTGCTCCAGACTTCCTCCATCATTCTCACTAAACGTCACAACGCACTGTTTATGTTTACCCCTAAGAACAAGCGTCAACGGGAGACCTCTTAAGTGGAAAGATAATCACACAACTAAGACTCCTGTCACTGCCTCAACTCTCAAGGGACCCAGACGATAAATTGAAAATCGCTCTCTCTCTCTCTCTCTCGCTCTCTATCTCAACACGACATCAAAAACTTCGTATGTTAAGAAATCCAACGTCTCTCATTTATCCCTGTCTCTCGTACGTCCGACAAAAGAAGAGAAAAAAAATGAGTCCGTAATTCAACAGTCCTTCATAAGTCACCAGTCAGAGTACAAGTCCAATCTGTTATCCCTCTCTATCTCCTTCAGCAAGTCCCATCGAAGGTCATACAAGTCCATCTTTATCTTCCACCATCACTTAAAAGTCCTTCTCAGTTTTTCACAAGTCTAAAACACAAGTAACAACAATCCTAGCTGACATGGGCACGTCCCTTCTGTACGGCAAATAACAAGTCAAATCTGTCCTTCCACAAGTCCAAAATACCAAAGGCCAAAGAGTTTGTTTCCGTCTTGGGCAAAGGTTTCATAAAAAGTCCCTTCCTTATCTTCCCTTATTCCCACAAGTCCAACCAAGAGTCAAAGAAGAAAGTCCCATTTGAACCGACCACGTCCCCCCGCGTGCGTGGGTGGGAGGTGGTGAAGGATTCAGCGGTGTTCTAGGAGCCGCTTGACGCAGGGGTCGGGGGTACAGGTGCCCTCGGCGTCGTAGCGGCCGTCGTTGCTCAGGAGGTTGAAGGTGTTGCCCGCGGCACTCTTACAGTCCAGGTTAATGGCGCAGTCAGCTTCCAGGGACGACGACAACACTGCATCACACTCATGGCGGCTCACTGCCAAGCTAGCGCCCTGTGGGGTAGATGGTACTCCTCTGATTACTTACATACACACACGTACATGATGCCACACACGTACATAATGCCGCACACGTACATTATACTGCACACGTACATGATGCCACACACGTACATGAAGCCACACATACGTATTTACGCACACACAAACATACATATACACACACACACATGAACACACACACACACACACAGCCTTCGGGCTGCAGAACTTTTTCAATAAACCGTTAATTATTATTATTATTACACAGGTACACATATACAAATATAAGTACACACAGATAAACACACACACACACAGGTACACATACACAAATAAAAGCACACACACACACACACAGATACACATATACAAATATAAGTACACACAGAAACTCACAACCACAGGTACACATACACAAATAAAAGTACATACACACACACACACACACACAGGTGCACACAGGCAATACTTACACACATATAGCAGATTTCGTGTCGTAGGCAGGAGTTGAGGAAGGCTTGGTCTCTGTCTCCCACCACCTCACTCACGCCCATACAGTTGACCAGGATCCTGTCCAGCACCGGGCACTCTGTGGGCGGCGTGGGCGGCATTAGTGAGCGGGCGGGAGTAGTGGGTGGGAGTGGTGGGTGGGAGTAGTGGGTGGGAGTAGTAGGGGCGGCATTAATGGGTGGCAGTATAGGGCGGCATTAATGGGTGGCAGTATAGGGAGGCATTAATGGGTGGCAGTATAGAACAGCATTAATGGGTGTCAGGTATAAGGGGGGGGGGGTAACCTTACCTTCCCTGGTATTCTCGAGAAACAGGTCGTGAAGATCCTCTCCCTCTTCCTCTTCTCCTCTTCTCAGCCTCCTCCTCACACTCCTCCTCTTAGTTATTCTTGAGTCCTGGGATCGCTTCTTCTCCTCTTCACTTACTCCCTGTCCATAATAATTACAGTGTGAGTTTTAAATCTTCTTATATCTGTCTGTCTGTCTGTGTGTGTGTGTTTCTGTCTATCTGTCTGTGTGTGTGTGTGTGTGTATCTGTCTGTCTGTCTATCTCTGTCTGTTTGTCTGTCTATGTCTGTCTGTATGTCTATATGTTTTTATGTCAGTCTATCTCCCTTCGTCTGTTTGTCTGTCTGTGTGTTTGGATGTTCATGTGTTTTTCTGTCTATGTTTGTTCGACCTCTCTATCTTCATTTCACTCACTCTGTCTCTTTCTTTGTCTCTCTCTCTCTGTCTGTCTATCTTTCATGTTATTTCTCCCCTACACCCCTCCTCCCCACTCACCCCACTCCTCTTAGCGTGTGGGTGTTCATCTTGTTGTAGTTCCTCCAGTTGTCTGATGGCGTCGCGCATGCGCTCTAAGGCGTCTAGACGGACCACGGTGTTGGAGAGCTGGCGGTGGTCGACTCCTTCATTACCTGATGCTAGTTGAGTCTCTGCTACCCCCGCCGCCTCTTCCGCTGCCTCTGTGTGGGAAATGAGGAGAGATTAGGCTGCATGAAGGGAGATTAGGGAAAATAAGGAGAAATAAGAGGGGATAAGGTATATTGACAAACAGCCATGCTTCAACCTGACTCTAACTAACATTTTCAAACACTTTATATCTATTTAAAATATTAAATGATAGTAATTGAAACATTAGACGATTTATAACAAAACATAAATATTTGCTTTTGATTCTATATACTCCGGAAATAATAACAGAAATATACGATTCATAATAAAAATAAATATTTCCTCTTCATTTTCTATATATATCAAATATCTATTGCAATTAAAATATTTCCCCTAACTGTTCTTTTTCCCAATATATTGCGCGTATTGATAATAAATGTTGAGTAATTTAATTTATGTCACCAATTGAATGTTTTCAGGGCTAATTTTCGGAATTATTATCGGTAATTAAGATCAGATATATTTTGAATGATTCGTATTTGTGATGATATAATGATGGGATTATGTTATTATTATGATATAGTATGATAGTATTAGCCTTTTATTTAACGATTATATTATCAAGATCAATGTGTTCAATTTCCCGCCAGAACAGAAGCTGATGGCGGCGGGCGGAACAACACACAGGTAGTCGACAGTGTCCAGATAAATTACTCGTTTTGTCGTTAATTTTCGTGATAAAGTGTGTCATACATACTAACAAAAAAGTGTAAGTGTTAAAACATATGAAGAACTCTAAAGAAAGACAAAAAGGAATATATTGAAGAGAAAATGAAGAAATAGGAGGTATCCCACTTCAAGCTGGACACAGTAAGTACTGTGCTTATTTCTTTCATTACTTAACTTATACGTTTATTAAATCAATGGAACTGTAAGATGTCTTTTAGGCTCGTGAGATGGTTTTTTTCCTTTGGGTTTTCAGTCAAATTAATTTAGGCCGTGACTGTTGGAAGGAGCGGTGTGTGTCATCTGCCACCACCGTGCGCACCGTCACACGTCAACAAGGGCTGTGAGCTCTC